AAGACCTAAAGATCTCAGCGAAAAGAGCAATTATTCTTGTGCTAAACCACAATTTCGCGACCGTAGTTAAAGAAAGCGCTTTGCTGGCGGGGGATCTATCTTCCGCAGCCTGGTCCAATTTAGCTCATTAGTTACATCATGCACCTGTATAGAATCTGTTCCAACTACATTTATCTGTCTGTGTGTGAGGCATACCAAGTATGTGGTGAATCTGTGGTAAAATGTGGCACTGGTAGCTGAAAGATGGTAGATTTTACTTTGGATTTTTCTTTTGTTGGAGATTACAGTAATACAGGTCTGATTAAAACATCTACATGTAGTTTATCTGTATTCATTTCCTGTAAGTCAGTCTGCACTTAATTTTCTGAAAAATCAATTCTCATACACATGTACCAAGTATATGGAGAATAGTGACAGTTGTGGTAAATTGTGGCACTGGTAGCTCAAAGATGGATGATTTTCCTTTGGATTTTTCATTTTCGTTGAGGTTTACAGAGTAAAATACAGAATGTGATTAAAACATCTATTTTATGCGCTGTATTAATTTCCTGTTCATCAGTCTCCACGTAAAGATAATCTTCTGAAAAATCAATTCTTATATGAAGGAGTATATGGAGAATCTGGTAAAATGTTGCACTGGTAGCTCAAAGATTGATGATTTTCCTTTGGATTTTTCATTTTCATTGAGATTTGCAGAGTTTATGAGCTGTATTTATTTCCTCTTCGTCAGTCTCCACTTAAAGGTAATCCTCAGAATCTGAAAAAGGAATTGAAGAAAATCAATTTTTAGTGCTAAGTGTTATTGGGGGTGCTGGTCACGATCTTATCGTTATGTCTTAGCCGATGCCGTATCGACTAAATTCGTTCTTACGGGTAGTTAGGGGAAACTTGGATCTAAGAGCCCAACTAGGATCACAGAGCAGGTCTCGAAATTAACTTTTTTTCTTATTATCCCAGCACTGTCCCGAAAATAAATTTTAATTGTCCCGAAGTGAGGTTTAACGTCCGAACCTGTTTTTCGGAAAGTATGTATGACAACAGCTTGAAGTCCAACCATATTTTGCTTACGTTCTGACTTCCAGGCACACTATAATTGCAGAGTAGGAAATTCGGGGGGACTTTTTTGGATCCAAAACTGGGATGTGTGCCTGATAAACAAAAGAAGGGCTGATGTTGATTATTTTTCTATTGTCCCAAAAATGTCCCAAAGTGTACTTTTAGTTGTCCCAACCTACATTTTAGTGGTCAGTGTCCATTGGACCACCTTTAATTTCAAGCCCTGTAATAGCCCAACTAGGAGCACAGAAGCATTGGGTTAGCTGATTAAGTCCACCTATTGCTTCCCCGTCTCAGGTTGAATCGTAATGATTCAGATAGACAAGGGTCGACCTTGAAGTTGAAGGGTATCACGGCTTGAGACCACAATCCGTTGTGTTCTTTATTGATTGTGAATACCGTGTCCAGGCTTTGGTACAAAGCTTGTCATCTAGCTACAACTGATTAGAGTGAGCTGAGTGATGTTCCCAGGAATGATGAATGAGACAGCGATGAGAATACATTATCATCGCCAGGAGGGGCTATATATAGGGTTGTCTTTGTTTCAACTCAATAAAACTTTGTACTAAGATGCATAAGTCATGATGCTTGAACGTGGTGGGTGGAAGGGAGGATACATGTATATTTGTTTGATGTTCAGTTCACTGTTAGCAACAGCAAAAGAACAAGTGTTGGTTGATTGTAGCCTCTACCAGGCTTCAGAAGCGGCTGGAAAGAGTAGAAATTGGCCAAAATGGACTTACTAGTACAGTACTATAACATGCAAACGTGTACAGTTTGTTGTTCAGGTTTATTGTCCTATAATTATTTGAAGTTTTGACATAAAAGTTTTGACTAGAAAATTCATCAGAACTCTACAATGGTACATGTACATGAAACATCAAGTCTTAGAATAAGCCCTCTTACATATTTACATTGTACTGTACATGCCAGTAATGCTGACTACATGTAAATGGCCAACAAGGACATTTAATGGCAAAACGAAAAATAGTGGATGCTACTGGAAACATCTGACAGTTCTAACGTATCTATCAATTTATTTGGGTACCAGTATTTTCTTGTGTACTACTATCTCATTACCAGGATGTCTAACCTTCATCCACGCATTGTGGCCAGAACATGTTCATGATACATTGGGGAACTGCCCAGCATGATAACTTACAGAGCTGGTGCCTTGGGAGAAACTGGGGAATTCAGACATCATTCCCCAGCAGCGCTCACCAAGATTAGAGTGGTTCTGTGTGTCTCAGACACGTTAAATGGGGTTCAAAGAGGAGTAAAAATCTAGCAGGGCTCGAAATCAAAGGTGGTATGATTGCCACTAACCACTAAAATTTAGGCTGGGACAACTAAAAAGACACTTAGGGACATTTTTGGGAGAATACTAAGAACACGTCCTGGCTTTTGAATCCAGAAAAGTCCCCCCCCTCTTGAATTTCCTGTCTACTCTGCAATTATAGTGCACCTGGGAGTGAACATGAGCTTGAAGTTGAAGTCATATGTAATACTAGTACAGGTTAAAAAACAGGTTGGGACAGTTCATCCTCACTTCGGGACAATTGAATAATATATATTTGGGACAGTACTGAGACAACAGGAAGAAAAGTTCATTTCGAGGCCTGTCTAGCTTCCAGCCCTGGCACCATTCAAGAAGGTCGGTCCCAGCTTTTCTCAATGCAAATCAAGAGAGAACTTGTGTGTCGCGGTAATTGCTGACATCGGCGACCTTCTCGCTTTATGCGGTTTGTCCTTGAAGGAGATTTATTCCACGTAGGCCTGCACCCCGACATGTGCAGGAGTCATTATCGGGAGGATGGCATGATGAGTGTCATCTGATGCTCGCAACCAATATCCGTAATATCTGGGGCTCGGCAATCCGAGTGCGCCGGCTTGTCATCAAGTCATGAGTGACGCATTTTCAGAGGCCCAAAGTTCACTTTTAAGTTTGAATCTTCAAAGGTGCAAAATTTGTTTGATTCTTATTATTATGGATTAGCTCTCCTAATAAACTTGCCCATGCTACAATGTACTACAAGGTGTACATTTTGCACATGTATTAAAAGAGGGTCTGCATGGGTTTTTCTTTGAGGTGTAGTGAGCCAATTCACGTTTGGTACATGAAGGATTCCCACATGTATACCCTCTTGAAAGTAACTAGCATAAGAACTTAGTTTAGGTACACATTCCTCTCTGTACAGATGGGTACAGTACCTTAAAACCAATTTACACCAAAAACCAAGGAAGTAGGAAAACTGATTCATACACCAATCTACACCAAAAACCTCAAGAAGGAAAACTGCATGCATCAAATTTTTCATGCTTGTAAATCGGCCAGTTTCGAAGTAAGTTAAGAACGTACAATCAGACCGTTCATCAGCCCTTAAGGTAATGTATGATCTGAACATACATGTGCATCAAAGCAGGACGATTTGCAAGACAGATTTTTTTTGCCCGCATTGTAAATTGTACCATGGTTGCAGGATGCTAATTTCCTTTACTCATAAATCTTGTTTCCTGTCTCTCGAATTCATCTCCAGATCTTTAAGTGAGAAAGAGAGCAGGTGCAACCATTCCTCAACTTTGTAATTCATTTTTCCTTATCGAAGTTTACTGTCATACAGTTGTGTGCATTATGAGATATATGGTTATTGCCAGGTTGTAATAATATGTACTAATATTACAGGTATCAGTAATAACTGCAGCACAGACATTTGGAGCTTTATAGTACTAATTTTTAATACAAATATCTTTGCTTGAGCTTTTATTAATCATCCTTGGGTATTATATGACTAGACAAGTATAATCCCTTTATCACAAGCTAAATTAGCATCCTACATTTATCATACCTATTTCATGGCACTGTAAGAATAATGTCTTGACAATATCACTACCTTTATCACAGAATAGTGACTTACAGTTAACATTCACTAATCCTCTATATGAAAATTACACAATGCTTGAGGGCAAATATTTTTGTTACTGGTTTGCCCCCTCCTGATTCTGTTTTGTTTTGTCTTTGTTGTGTTTTGTTTCCATGGTAACAGACTATTATACATGAACATGATTTGAGACGGTATTAATAATATGATTAATTCATGGAAGGTGGCAGCTGTACATGTTTGTGCATACAGTGAAGATTTACATAATATTATGTTCTATACTGAATCAATAGAGTTCAGATATTGTTGAGATGAAAGACTTGAACCAGGGTTCACGCCAGAATTTTTTCACAGCGTAGGCATCGGGTAGCCTGCGTACCATCCTCAGTACTTTCTGCCTTCTCACTAATGTTGCTGGCTAGCTAGGGGTCAGGTACAGAAGGACAACATTCCCAAAGACATGACCACATTATGGTTAATGGTTAATCTGGAAGTCCCACAAGACACTTTCCTGTTTTCCCTCTGTTGTAGCTTCAAGTTTTCTTCAAGATTCATGATTCAGATTCATTCCCCCCCTCCCCTAAAATTGAATAAGAAAAACACCCCTACGCTGATTGACAGTAACTGAGTAAGTGTAGGAGCCTCAATCATAGAATACGGGTCCAAATTACAGCGTAGGGGGCCTCTATCATCTATGCTCTAACAGCCTTTCAAGAACATTGTATAAACCATTATAGGGTGCTGCACACTGGTTCTTTACACTGGAACAGTATTCATATGTACAAACCTTTGTTGTATACAAAGAACTTTTATGTATTATCCAGTGTTTTTCCAACCAGAGGAAACTACACGTTAGTATTCACATTAGGAAATATGAATCAATTTTGAGGAATTCATCCCTCATACAATACTACCATCAAACACAGCTGCAGTATACAACGCCAAAGTCCTTGGAATACAATGTAGGAACACATTCACACACACTGACTATCTTGTATTCCGTCCACATTCAGCACTTTCAAAAACAAAGGCAGTTTAGTAACCATTTTCTTCTTCCTACTGCAGCATGCAGCAGACTTGGAGAAGAAGCAGAACGAAGCTGAGAACAAGAAGCTACTTGGCAGTGTTATTCAGTATGGAGGAGTCATACAGGTGAGACACCTGTTACTGGTAAAAACGTTTACATCTTACTTCTTAGCCTTCTACAGGTTTTCTGTGCAAATTAGTACTCTCGGTGTACAAAAGGGGTGTGCCTTGCCTAGCCTTAGATTTATTTGTGCCAAATTGACAAAGCCATGCTCACTGCCTGTTGTAAAATTTGACATAATTTTAATCTTTTTCGTACACTGTATGAGGGTTTTATTACACATGCCAATTTGTTCTGACAAGATTACCGTGGCCATAATTTTCTAGATCATTAGCAACAAGAATGACAGACTGAGGGCAAAACCCTTGGAATATAGCCATGTTCAAAGTTACCACAGACAACATGTGAATTTCTGTTGCCTAGCTTCTCCATCTCAAGAGCAACAAGTTCCTGACAGTGAACAAGCGCCTCCCGGCACATCTGGAGAAAAATGCAATGAGAGTCACCCTCGATCCATCTGGAAATGAAGGGTCATGGTTTTACATCCAGCCTTTCTACAAGCTGAGATCACCAGGGGATAATGTAAGTACACTGGCCAAGTGTGTACAATGGGCTTTAGTCAAGACTACATCTACTAGTACATGTAAATTTTACCTACAGTACAATTTAAGTAGATGAAAATATGCTACATGTTTTTACAGTACCTCAAGGAGCAGCCATCTTGTTGATTACATGCAGTAGATGTAGATGCAATAGTTTAGAGAGGGGGTATCTTGTAACAACCATTCACCCCCTTTCTGAGATATTTGTCTTACTGAATAATTGAATGATTAAGAATGGCCAATGAATGTGTCAGAAAAGGATACTGATTTTTTCCCACTTACATTTATATGTATTATTATCAGCATGCAGAGCACATAAAGGAGAATGCATGCACCCAAACGAAACCCAAATTTTCAGTTTCACTGGATGTTTCATCAATGTTGCATCAGGATTTTGCCCATTGCAGATGATGATATCTTTTACGACACAACATTTGAAAACTAGAGACGGGATATCATCCTTACATACGCAAATACGACCTGGAATGAGACGTTCTGCCGAAGTACATTACAGGTTTCATACAGATGCAGTACATGTACATTCTGCCAGTGTGCTTCCATGCATATGAGTGCCTTTAAACTCATCTGATATGTCTTTTCCACAGGTTGTTGTTGGAGACAAAGTTACTCTCATGCCAGTCAATGCAGGACAACCTCTCCATGCCAGTAACTATGAGCTGGTGGACAACCCAGGCTGTAAGGAGGTATGGTTACCGTGCAGTCACTTAAACACCTAGGTTGTCGTACTAACTTGATGCTGTATCATGTCAAAGACCTATATACATGTAGGAGCAGAGTGACATGAACAGTATGTTGTACAGAGTATTCTCAAACTATATATAGGCAAGGTTTGAGAAGGATAACTAACTAACATTTCCAAAACACAATGTGACAAGCACCAGAGAACAAGTACCAGAGCAGCTAAAACAGACAAAGCACCAAGCAGAGAATGGCACCAAGAGTCCATGTCTAGTGGGAAAATAGTCATAAAGCAGGGACAACAACAACAAGAATTCCGAGATTTCATACCTCCATGAAATATGGGCTTGATATGTAAATGTAAATTTCCTCTTTAATTATGCAAATGACCTCCGCATTAACATGATATATGCATCGTGATGTATGTTAACTTTTGATTAAGTTACAGATGTCCCAAGTATGACATTCCCATCATTCCCCATTAAGAAATCATAGAATTTTTGCATAAATTATGCAAATTAGGTCATCATTTGCATAATTAGTATCTGTTGATGTTCTGCCTGCCATAGGTTACATACATTACATGTATGAAAGTAGTATAATGTAAAACACTGTAATTATAGAATTTCCTCATTAATTATGCAAATAAAGTCCTCATTTGCATAATTTAATCATGTACATCTCTCTCTCAGCTACCTACACACCAAAAATTATTAAAATATGTTGTTCCTATCTGGACTTATTGGCTTTTAAACATTTCGCCAGAAAGTGCCCTGCAGTTCCAAAACAAGCTGCTAGGGGGACCAAACTCACACCACTTATTCCTGACAGGAAAAGCAATCTGTCACCAAAACATCAAGACCATAGCATGTTCAGGACAAAAGATACAAAAACCGGAAGTTCTGCTGCAGTACCAAGGTCATCCACCAGGAGGCCCATATTTGACCTTGACGTTTGTCTTCCTAAGACTTACCAACATACCGAATATCATCATAATCCATAAAGGCGTTCTGAAGTTATGCTGACCACAAAGTTGCGGAAACACAGACAGACACACAGACACACACACATACATACATACATACATACAGACAGACACGCCAAAAACAATACCTCCATTTTTCATGGAGGTAACAACAGCATTTTTAAGCAGGCTGTGACAAACCAACTGTTGACAAGGATCTAACACATCTTGTTCCATAGCAAGTTAGCTGAATATTCACAAGAATGCCCTCAGTTAGTAATAGTACAATGATCACACAACATATGCGACTGAGCCCTTAGCTATAAGCAAATATTACAGGAAGAAATGAACTCTCAGTTATTACATTTTTTGGAAGAGCTGTAAAATCAGCCAACAATACTTGATTCATGCCATTTATTACCTTTCCGAGTCCATCAATTTCGAAAATAACATGTTACTTTTATATTGCAACTTGTGTATATTGCCTTCATACTGTGAAATATGCCAGTGTCAGCAATTAATCTAGCCTGTGGGCATTACTCGAGTTTAGTTTAATTCCCTGCTTGACGTCAATGAGATAAGGAGTCTTACCACAGGCAGACAGGAGATGGGATATCTGTACTGTGTGAGCCTGGCAGTGGAAGATTACAGCTTAGGCCACACCAAGTAATTTTAATGGATGACGTCATCTGTAGACCCTAAGTTTAATGCGAGAGGGAAAAAAAAAAACAAGTAGGGCAAAAAAAAGCAAGAAGTCTAGGTTTGAAATATACTAAGGGACGACAAATTGACAGTGTAACAACCAAAAGGTCTTTTATTGGTCATGAAAACAGCAATAAATCAGTGGAACAGCAGTTGTCGTCCTGTCCTGTTTCTTTCCTTTCATCACATCTTCCCTTATCCCACTGTTGTGACTCTTTGGTTATACTGCAGTTACAGGAAGCGGAATTTCTTGTTTTTTTCTGGGAACAGGCCAAAATCAATGCACACGCAGAAGTTATCCATAAAAATTACTTGGCGTGGCCTTACCAAGCTTAAGTGAAGGCATAATTGATAGCTTCTCCAACGGGTGCGTCGATAAGCCTGTCAGTTAATATACTAGAGATAGAATCAATGTACTATACCGGTAATCATGTACATCTCCCTTCCATTAGTCTAACTTTTATGTCAGGAAATTACTGTACATGATAAGTAGTTGGTGTAGGATGTAATCAGTGTAACATGATTAAAGTATGTCTGCGAGAGATACTCAAACTACGAACACTTTTAGAGTCAAAGTAACTGGATTTCTTTCTTTTTTTTCAACTCAGGTGAACTCTGTAAACTCGAATACGAGTTGGAAGGTCTCCCTCTTCATGATCTACACAGAGAACATTGATGACGTGCTGAAGGGAGTAAGTACTACATCAATTACAAACATCACATAGAATTATATAGAATAAATGAATAAATAGCAAAGTTAAACAAGTGGTTTCGAAATGTCAGCTCTTGTTACACATTAAAAAAAGGTATATCATACATGTATCATGAAGGAACTTCCTACAGCAGGATGGAAAAAAATTCTTAAAGTAAGAGATAAGCTGATAGCAGTGATACCAGTGAAAAATTATCAGTGATCAGTGAAAAATCAGGTTGGTGGATGATTGAATAGCAAAGCACAACTGCTTGATTCAGAACCTGGCAAACAAAAGCAAACATTACAACTGGCAATTGCATGTAGTCACAATAAGTATGATTGTATTGCTTGCTTCTTGAAATAAAGTTGTAGTCAAGATACACCCATGGTCTTTACCTGTAAGTTAACTGTAAGTTACATGAGAGATATTTTGAATACCCCCAGGGTGACGTGGTGCGACTGTTCCATGCGGAGCAGGAGAAGTTTCTGACAGGAGATGAGTACAAGAGGAAGGAGTGTGTGTTCCTGAGGGTCACGGCCAGACAATCAGCCACCTCAGCCACAAGGTTTAGAACTTACCATCAAAACATAACAAAAAGCAATTGGAGCTTGATAGTGATGCCTATTTTGATTGATGCAACTTGATGGAAGTGTTCCTTACCAGATCCTGTAGTTACCAGATCCTGTACATGTAGTTCGAAAGAGACAGCCAAAGTTTTAAACGTCCAGAATTGCTTGTCATTTATTGCTGATTTGTAATATTAAAACATTCATTCTTCTTTTAATAAAAATGTAGTCTAATCTAGGATTTTATATAGGGATATAAAATTATGGTATACATGTATATACACACATGCTAGATATAAAAAGGTTGTTGTTTTAACTTTTATGAGCATAATATTACAATTATAGTAAAGGGAAGTAAATTTTCCATAATTCTTTTTTTCCTCTGCCAGTTCTAAAGCCTTGTGGGAAGTTGAGGTGGTTCATCACGACCCCTGTAAGGGTGGCGCCGGTCACTGGAACAGCCTCTTCAGGTTCAAACACCTGGCCTCCGGGACCTACCTGGCAGCAGAGGTACACTCATGACAGTTCACCTTGACAGTGAATTACAATACAGATCTCCATTAGCTTACCTTCCCACATGTTTTACACATTGTTTTAACCGATTCATGTCTCGTAACAAAGTAATTTCATTGGCACAGTTGATTGGCGATTGAAAGCCATGTAAGAATCATGTAATACCCAGTCAAAAGTCGTTTAAAGGTCGTATAAAACGAGTACACTAATTAGCTACAATTAGTGGCTATCTATAAGGCATAACCACATGCAATTGTGTACATCGACCCATTTTTACACAATAAGTGAACTTAATTTAAACAAGAAGTGCACGGCTTTTGCACACATTTAATCGTGCACGACTTTTTAATCGTGATTCCAATATCTGTAGATGGGAAGTTATTTGAGATCTTTACTGTATACAAAGGGAAGGCTTCTTTGTGTTAGAAAAACAAAAATTGTGCCGTAAACTAGTTCAGAAGGGCATGTATCATTTCTGTTGCATGTACTGAATGCATTTGGTCTATTATTGTCATTTCCAATCTTCCGAAAATAGCTTGTCAATGATTAGGTTGGTCAAGTATAGGATACAGGAGTTTTCTTTTACACAACTAGTGAAGCAGAACTCCAGTCAGAAGCTCTGAGGAATGTGTCTGATAGTCAGCACTTCGGTGAGAAATCTTGGTTGTGTGAAAGAAAACTCCCGTATCCTATTATTGTCAATGTCTTTATTTCTTGTCCAGATTGACCATGACCCGACCCCTGACACCCAGCGGCAGAAGCTGGCAGGTCCGCAGGGCGGGATGGTGTACCAGCTGGTCCCCATTCCACACGGCCACGACATCGCTTCCATATTTGAACTGGATCCCACCACCATGCAGAGGGCAGACTCACTGGTCCCAAGGTACAGTCTTTGAAAGCCCTTAGGTCCAATCTATATGCTTAAATGACAATGAAATACAAGTTTACCACATTTGCTGTACAGTTCCTGAAATACAACTACAGTTCCTGAAATACAACTACAACAGTTCCTGAAAATACCGATAGTCACAGGTGATAGGCATTGTTTGATAATATTCAGAAATGTTTGGATCAAAAATACACTCTAATTCTAAAGCAAATCGTCCTTCCAGTTCTTGATTTCTGCATCCAGTTAATGACTGAATGAATGAAAGACCTTTATTGTACACATACAAATGTACATGTATAGTATATGTTCCCACTGGGTTAAGTACAGGAGAATAGTATACAGATAAGGTTACATGCATTGTCAAGTAACTATGACTAAGTGAATTTGACTAAGTTTACTAAGCTTCCTAGTAATAAGTTCTCGCTTGTTAGTAATGGTAAATTCAATTAAATGCTGGCAGTGAAGTTATGGTAAATGGCAGGTGATCTACCTGCAAATCTCCAGGAGGGATTTCCAATCTGGGTTTTGCAACATACTTCTCACCCTTCTTCCCTGTCTTAAGGAACTCATACGTGCGTCTGCGACATCTGTGTACAAACACCTGGGTACACAGCACAGCTATACCCATAGACAAGGAGGAGGACAAACCTGTCATGCTTAAGGTACGACATGTCACAATCTGCCTTCTCAACTTACTCCAGGGCTCAAAATACTTTTTTCTGTATACCTGAACTGGTATTAAATAACGTTGAAAATTGCCCACACCAGACAAATTTTACCTGCGCCACTCAGAATCTAGAAGGAAGTAAAACTGTTCAGAGTGCCATTATTTCTTTTAAACTTTTAAACTCAAGCCCTGTTTCTCTCACTTTGATAGTACTTGTAAAGTACAAATAAGTCCATGTGTTGTTGTGCAGCAGTTAGTGTGTAAAGTGAAAAATTTTGTACAAGGTTTGAGTACGGTTACAATGTTTTAGCATCAATGTCAGTTTAGTCCAGACCCAAACACATTTAATGATAATGCTATAGAATTCTTGAATATTTTATAACAGGCCTGTTTTCATTTAATACTGAAATAAGTCTAGTATTTTACTGCCGGAGGTTTCCTTGCTCTAAAGAAATGTTGCATCTAGGTCGGTGCTGCTCCAATCCGGGAGGACAAGGAGGCCTTTGCCATTGTTCCCGTCCCTGCCAACGAAGTCCGAGACCTGGACTTCGCTAATGACGCCTGCAAGGTCATGCAGGACATAGCTGGGAAACTGGAGAAAAGCAGCATCACTCAGAACGAACGAAGGTAGGGAAGTCCTCGGTTTGGACAAGGTTCTAATAGTGGGTAGGACCTACATTAAAGAAATTGTATGACGTACAGCTGTTGAATATTTGCTGTTGATTTGCTATTCACGACGTTATAACTGTTTTGGTGATGTTGTATTATCACTAACAATAACCAGGGCAGCGGCACGCCAAATTTCCGTGTTAGACTACCACATGGTAGTCCTAGCATTTGAATATTAAGTAGCTCAGTTATACTAAAGTAACGCAAGTCCTTTGTTCCATCTCTTCGTTCCTGTCACCCGAACGCTGAACTCACCATGATGTTAGATCCTCAATTAACCCTTGATCAAACTAGTAGCAAAGGCAAATTTAAGTCTCCGCCCCAGTCTATCATCAAGGACAAGACCACAAATATGGTGTCAGAAGTGGGATTGACACTCATGTCCCCAAAGAGCTAGAACTAATGTTTTGCGTTACTCTAGTATTGCTGAGCTACTTATTAGTCAAATGCTAGGACTAGTCTAGTTCAGAAAATTGGAGGGGTGCTGCCCTGACTATTATTACTAATAATACAACAAGACTTAGTGGTAGAACTAGTAGCATTTGATTTAAAGTGGTCACTTCTGATAATGGAAGAGTAGCTTTCCATAATTTGACAGGTAGTATGTCAAAATGGTGGTGGGAGAAGATCGATAATTTTTTACCTCATAATTTTGTTTCCATTGGGTGATCATAATTATTGCATGGGAATTTCATTTTCTGTTTTGTTTCTGGTCTGTTTTGAAAATGCCACCGTCCTGTCTTCTCCGACCAGTTCTGTTTCCCAACTGCCGACTCGGCCGGCCATCAACAATGTGCTGTCAAAGAGCGTCCGGAGGTCTGGCTGTTTTCTGGACTTGGTCCTGCGACAACAGCCTCCCCTGCAGGGTGGGAGGAGGAGGTGGAAGGACACACAACTGTCAGAAAACATCTGAAACAGATGGGCTGGTCGTACTAAGACTAAAACTGCAATCGCTGTTTTAAACGTGGAAAAAATCATAGTGTTTTTGTCAGCAAAAACAAGCAGCTGATGAAAAAAATCATGGTGTTTTTGTCATGAAAAAGGTAGCAGCTGATGGAAAAACATCACGGTGTATTTGTCATGAAAAAACAAGCAGCTGATGGAAAAAATCATGGTGTTTTTTTCCTGGAAAACATTAGCAGCTGATGGAAAAAATCATGTTTTTTTGTCATGAAAAACATTTTTAGCAGCTGATGGAAAAAATCATAGTGCTCTAATTTGTCCTGAAGAAAACAAGCAGTTGAGGACAACAGTGTGCTCCTCATTGGCTGATACAAGACTGAGGAAGGAGGATTTGGGTCTATTTTGCAGCTGTCATGGCTCTCTTTCCTTCCACCTTTCTCCTTGACTGCAGGATGGGCTGTCGACCTGGCATACACCATTTTAGAGCGTTCATCCTTAGTTTGCTCACAAGGAATGACCTTGCCTTACCATGTCATACCACGCTTCCGTAGTTCACATTTACTTATAATTACGTCTTACGTTCACACTAGCCTGAGTACCATCCAGATTTTGCTCTTCCACGCTAGAAAATCCGGATGGTACCCAGGCTATGTTCACACAGCACATTATCATTATAAATTTATTTAAGTTTTGTACTTATGACAATTCTTGATATGATGATTTTTTTTCTTATAAGTGGGTAAGCAGAGTAAATGACTTAGAATGGAACTCCTCCATTGTAACTTGTTGCAGCAGGAATATTCTCAAACAGTTGTCGGAGACGGGGGTTCCATTCCAGCAGAGTAGCAGCTTGAGGGCTGGGTGGTATATTTTTAGAGAGCATTCGTTTTATAATTTAAGATTTAAAACATAATTTAGTCACATTAGAACTTAATTATAAGACGTTTCTCTAGTTGGCTAGTAATGAACATGATGGAAATTTCCCTGCCCTCTCCCTGAAAAAATACTGTAACAGTAACAGTACAAGAATATTGCACTGGCAGTTAACAGGTAGGGAGTAAGGTTTTTGCTATCTGTCGATTGCCCCCCTCTGAGTAGCCAATGTAATATTTGTTCAATCACAATGTATATGGACCCGATTTACACATGCAGGCAAAAACCTGACATACAAAAACTGCATATTACATATGTACATCAATTTTTCCTGTGTGTAAATTGGCCTGCTTTGATGTACATCAAGAACCTAACGTTCAAATTGTACATTACCTCAAGGTCTGGTGCACAATCTGATGTGTGTACTTCAAAGCAGGTCGAATTTCTTCAGGTTTTTGCCCGCATGCAAATTGGGTCATGGTATTGATAAAGTACTGATTAGCAAGAATGGTTCATTCCACAAATACCTAGTAGATGGTAAAAAAAACACTGCAATTATGTACAAGTTAAATCTACTATAGAACAGAAGATGAAAATAACAGACGGTTGTGAAAATAAAACTTTGCCATTGACTGAGTCATTCACCAACCTGGTGAAATTATTTCTGGATGAACCGTGACATGTAATACATTGTATTTTTTTATGATGCACAGACCAACCCTAACCCAACCCTTCCGTTTCAGGTTTGTGACCCAGCTGCTGACAGACTTGGTGTACTTCCTGGCAGACAAGCCCAACAACGGAGGGGACCCCCTGGACGTACAGATCACCAACCCCAACAGGGAGAGGCAGAAGCTCATGAGAGACCAGAACATTCTCAAACAGGTATAACAGCCATTATGCTTCATGTGTCTGGTGACAATGATAACACAATACAAGCAATCACTGTTTTTTTTTGCTTACATCATATACATGCAAATTATTTAAAGACATATACAAATTATTGGTAGGCAAATCAGTCAACCGTCATCCACTTGTTGCCTACCGTGACCACATGGCAATCGCTCATATATAGACCTGATTTACATGAGGGCAAAAACCTGACACACAGAAATTGCGTACGAACTCGAGCGTACAAAAATTGCATACACCAATTTTTGCCTGCTTTGACATGTCAAGACCATACGTTTAGATTGTACGCTATATTGTATGCATATAATCTAAACATATGTTTGCAGTGTACATGTACGTCAAACCATGCAGATTTACATGGCAGGGAAAAATGGACATGCTTTTCGTACACTTGCATGCGTATGCAGTTCTTGTAGCATGCATGTTGGGTGAGCGGCAACAACCAGGATTCAAACTCCCAACCTCTTGGTCCAGAGGCAACCACTGGACTAAACATGCTACAATCATATAGTGTATGAGTCGTCATATGTATTTGGCCATTATGTACATTTTAGTCCATTTAAACTAAATGACATACTCTTAACTGTGTACACTTTACATCATTTGTGGTTGTAGATCTTCAAAGTGCTGCAGGCCCCGTTCGAGGACAAGGGAGACGGGCCCATGCTGCGGATGGAGGAGCTGTCTGACCAGAGACACGCACCCTTCAGACACATCTGCAGGCTGTGTTACAGGGTGCTCAGGCTGTCACAACAGGACTACAGGAAGAACCAGGTACGCTGCAACAAGGATATACTTGTTTGTACAAAAAGTCATGTAGACATGATCATGATTAAATGTATTTTTTAATCACATTTTGGGGAAGGATTGACATACTTATTGAAGGTACAAGAAATAGTCATGCCTGAGCTCCAGAGCTATCAACCATTCTTTTCTAGAACTATTGCAGAATGGAACTCTCTTCCACCAAGTACAGTAAGATCATTAGCTTTGAACAATGTTTAGAGTTCGATATTCAAAGGTTAGGTGTAACAGGTCATTCAGTGTAATGTAGCCAGTTGCCACCACACTGTATGCCTGCAAAGTCGAACGGCGGTTATACCGGCTATACAGATACAGATACAGCACAGGTGACCAATTCCTTTTCAACCCTTATTTAGACGTCACGTAACCAAAGATAATAAAAGATAACAAAATAAGCGTAACCAAACACGTAACCAAAGATAATAAAAGATAAACCAGACATAACCAAAGATATTTGTAGTTACTCATTTTCACCTGAGGGAAGTAAAGAAAGTCCTGTAAAGTGTCTCAATGAAGGTTAACATCCAGGTAATGTAGTACACAAGAACATTGTCACTCAAGCAACTTGTTACTCAAAGTCTATCCAGTTGCTTGAGTAACAGTTTTCTTTTGTCCTGTAAAGTGCCTTTCCCAAGGGCACAACATGTTGGTAGATTTGAACCCAGGACCTACATGTAATGGGTTCTGACCTCAACACCCAACCATTAAACTACACGATCCCACCATGCTGTACACTAAGATTGTTTTTATGATTACATTTTACAAGAAGTGTTGTTCCATCCTTTTCTACAGGAGTACATAGCGAAGCAGTTTGGTTTTATGCAAAAGCAGATCGGCTATGATGTGTTGGCTGAAGACACCATCACAGCTCTTCTGCACAACAACAGAAAACTGCTGGAGAAGCATATCACCGCTGCTGAGATCGAGACCTTCGTTAGCCTCGTTAGGCAGAAGAAGGAGTGCAGGTGGGCTGATTTACACTCTTACCAAGCAGGTCTTTCGGTGGCCGCAAAAGACAGTATCAAATTGGCCAGGCAGGATCCATTAGCCAGACAGTATCCATTGACCACTTCTCTGGTCAATGGATACTGTCTTGCCACTGTATGATTCGCTTGGAGATTAACTCTCACTCACTATCCTGTTTAGCGCCTGTTGTTCCTCATCTTCCAAGGGTTAGACATGCTTGCACATAAGTGCTGAGGCTTGATGGCAACCCACCATTTGCCTTTATCCTGTTGGTTGACGTTATGTAGGTCAAGGTGTTGGAAATCTTCCCTTAAGTTACTTTGTCTCTTCTTTATAATGATGAGAATTTACAGTACTGTTCTACAACTCTGGAAAATTGGTTCCCTGGAATTTCCTACCAAATAGCTTTCTGACCCAAGTGAGTCAATTTTTTGGAGTTGGACAACAGTTTGATTCTCATTATGTATTTTGCCAACTCAGATGAACTTTCATGCATCTCTTCTTTGGTCAACCTCGTGGGGTTAAACCATTCTTGAATCATAATGCATTACCTGCCTAGTATGAAAGGAATCTGCATCTCTCATAACCATTGTTAGAGGGAGTTAGGCAGTGTTCAGGAGGCCATATTTGGCTATGTGTGACAGGCTTTAGATCCAGTGCAACATTGAAAAGGTTTTGAATCAGATTTTGCGTGTTGTCATTCTGCACAGATTTCTGGAATACCTGTCGGACCTGTGTGTGTCCAATAACCAGGCCATCCCGGTCACCCAGGAGCTGATCTGTAAATCTGTCCTCAAACCAGCCAACAGTGACATCCTCACAGAAACAAGGTACTCTTCTGTTATATATGAGATACACACTCAAGCTTCTGGAATATTATTGTTACGACAAGCAACTGTACGGAAAACATTACCTACATGTACTGTACGTGTACTGAAGCAAGAGGTAGTCATTGTGTTCAAAGTAACTGTCACAAGTACTGACACTTCTAGCAGAAAATATGGTACTGATAGCATTTGACATGCTGTGAAGACTTCAATATTCACACTCAGACGTTTTTATTTTCACGGTGATGCTTACTAGAAAATCATGGCACTGCTAATCTATGTCTTGTATATTCATAGATACATGTAAGGACAGAATTGTTTCAACAGTAAATTTCAAACACAAGGAAACGTCCGGACAAAAATTAAAGAATCTGCAGTACACTTTGTATGGTTGCTCAACGTGGATTTTATTATTTTCATTTCTACTTAATGTTATTCTGCAATTTATCAAATGACATGTCTGCGTACAAATCACTGGTTGGTAGGTGTGCTACATGTGCCTGAAATTACATCTCTACTGACATTCTATCCTTTATCTCTTCCCTAGAATTGTGAAGACAGAAGTTGAGGAGGTGATAGAGGATGAGGAGGGGGAGGATGGGGAGCCCATCACACAGATAGTGGAGGAGGAGGAGGTGGTCCTGTTCTGGGAGAAGGGACACAAACACAAGGCCATCCGCGAGCTGGCCGCTGATGCCGAGGAGTCCAAGGAAGACAAACAAGTTATGGACTATTATAGGTAAGACTATCTGTATCGGTATAGCCGGTATAACTGCCCTTCTGCGTAACACACCAGCTTGGCAGGCACATGGTGCAGCAGCAGCTAGCTTTGTCACTCCGAAAGAGCACAATATTGAAAGAAAAAATTTTATGTATTGCTTGTGCTTCACAGATACCAGCTGGACCTGTTCTCCCAGATGTGTCTGGACAGACAGTACCTGGCCATCAACATCCTCTCAACTCAACTGGACATCAACCTTATATTACAGGTGACTATAGTCAGAAACACAGTCAAGCATTCCAGATAACATTATTGATTGACCATTTTTGCCCATCATCGTTCAACTGTTGGTATGATTTTATTTTTCTTAAAATTGGATTGGAGACTACTGGCAGTCTTTCGGGTAGTATAAAGGAAGAAAACGTAGCCAATTGGGTACCAATTCTCTGTGTTACAGGGCTAGGCAGCATTGAACACATGGTATTGTTTATTACATGTTATTCACCTGTTTTGGCTTCAAGATGCAGAATTGTACACACACGACTTTAACAGCATTGTATTCCTTCTAATTTCTAGCATGGTCAAAGTTTGTTGTGAAATGCTGTTCACCGTTTTTCTGAGTGTTGTTTCAAGTATTGTTGCACATTGTGAGCTCACTTAGAAGTATTGAATCCTTTGAATCAGTTGCCTCTGGAGTGATTTGATGATGATGATGATGATGATGATGATGATGATGACTGGTTTATTGATTTAAAACCTTTTGCAGCCTGGAGACTGAATTGCATGTTTCATTACATACAAGTAGGGTTATGTTGATTGCATTTCGTGCCCACTTTTATTTGTGGGATACAAAAAATATAGCTGTGCACATACATAAAACATGCAGAATCCAGCTGTCTTGTTATGTAAAAAGCTGTCATAAATTCTACGACATCAAAATCGTACAGTGACTTGTGACTGCACCTACTCGCTGTTAAAACTTGCACCTGTCCTGGTTCTAGTGCATGTCGGATGAGTCGTTGCCGTATGACCTGCGTGCCTCGTTCTGCCGGCTGATGCTGCACATGCATGTGGACAGGGACCCGCAGGAACAGGTCACCCCTGTCAAGTATGCACGCCTCTGGTCCGAGATCCCCTCCAAAATTACTATAGAGGAGTAAGTATGGCGTGTTATGTACAAAATGTATTCTCCATTAGGCCACAGAAAGTAATTTGTATCTATGACATTTGCCATGCAGATTCATTTTGGCCTGATTTTAGAAGAAAAGCAAGAACTTTTGTTGCCCTCCAACAATGGTCAACATGCCAAAATGGGCAAATAAGTCGTAAATGTCTATCGGTTCTGTCACAAAACACATTTTGTTCTCACCAAGACTAATTAATTGAGATGTACATTGTATACACAATCTTCGATAACAGATAATAATAATACTTTATACAGGAAGAAAAGACCTGCTGTTTGTGATACATATTATGATTTGTCCCCACAATTCTTGGTTAGTAAGGTTTACAGTGTATGATCTCAAAATTTGAAAATGCAAGAATGTCTGCCCACTTGTTTTAACCACGTGTTACCCAGCTTATATGCCGCTTTCATTCAAATGGGATAATCCCATTTAAATTGTGAATGAAAGCAGCATATAAGCTGGGTAACACGTGGTTAAAACAAGTGGGCAGACATTCTTGCATTTTCAAATTTTGAGATCATACACTGTAAACCTTACTAACCACCGATTACACAACTTTTGTATGAGAATAAGTTACAACCCCATGTAAAATGCGTGGGAAGGGAAGTTAATTGAGATGTGTACAGTTACTGTAGTTACATGTACAAAATGTAACATCACACATACACACACACATACTTTTTACATTTACAAAAAAATGATAGACCCACAGTCATGAGTGATTTTTTTCCAGCTATGACTCCACCAGGGACAAAAGTAAGGCGGACATGAGGCCCAGGTTTGAGGACACCATGCGGTTTGTGGAGCGCTACCTCCGGCATAACCTTGCCGATAATGCCAGAGGCTGGCAGTTTGCTGACAGGAACCAGAACAAACTAACATTTGAGGTGAGCAGCTTGACACTTTTGATAGAAATATTCAAATTTTTTTAATGATGAATAATTATGATGATGAAGTTATTTGCTATCATAGCAAGTCCTCCAGTGTGTTAAATGCTCTCTTGTTCAGTTGGTAACTTTCCGTGTCATGACTTCCACTACAGTACTTGACTTCTTTGGAATGAAGAAAATAGTATTGTTATATGATCTGTTTCTACTCTCTATAGATTAATAGGTGTACAAGGAATATCAGATTTTCTACATAGCATTTCAGCAAGTTCTTGTATGTTTCTACTGTTGCCATAGGCTTTTTTGTGTCTTGATCCAATGTTTTCAAAGGCCCGATTTACACATGCAGGCAAAAAACTGTGTACGCACGTGAGAGTGCAAAAACTGCGTACATCAAATATTTCCTGAATGTAAATCGACTCAGGAAAAATTTCATGTGCAAAGTTTTCATACTGTAAAATTTTGCCTACGTGTGAATCGGGTCATATTGTACAATAAAACCACTCCATTTCTGATGTTGCTGTTGCCCCTGTCCCCCCCCCACCTAGGTGGTGAACCTGTCCCGACACCTGGTGTACTTCGGCTTCTACAGCTTCAGTGACCTGCTGAGACTGACCCAGACCCTCCTGTCCATCCTGGACATCACCAACTCCACCACGCCTGTCCTGGCACTGGGCAAGATGGACAAAGTGTCCGAGCTAGGTAGGCTGGACGGTGCCGTCTTGATGACCACTCAATGTTGGTTTGTTGATTTAAGGGTGTACAATGCAACTTCTGGGCAGCAATACAGAAAATATTCTGGATGACGAAATCTGTTGTATGTTGACATTTATTAGCACATTTTCATCATCATTAAATACAAGAAGTGTTTTAAATAACCCAAAAACAAGCTACACAAGGAGTCCTTTTGTTTTTTTGGTACCTAAATAAATTTGTAGCTAGAAACATATGAAAAAGCATATGAAAAAAACAACTGGTTTCTGTCAGCAACATGCATTTTTGCCTCACAGATATCAGTATGCTATATGGGGTAGGGTTGTATTAAACTTTCAAAAATGACCAGAAAATTGACTTAACTAGTTTGAAAGTCCAGTTTTGTTGCCTTGAAATCGCTTTGTATGCCTTTAAACTTTCCCATCGCCCTTAGTGTAGATGTTCAGTTTCCAGTATAAACTCTGACTGACTGAGCTTGCTGCCTTAATATTCAACATGTACTGACCTTGCATTACTGATAATGTCCAACTATGACTGGCAACAACATCGCTGACACTAACAGACACTGTTTCAAATGTCTACGAACACTACAACCGACAGGTCTTATATGCAGTGTACATGTACATAAGGCAAGGACATTGTGTGATGCTCAAAATGCATTTTTCTATCTACATAAAATATGCAGTAAGTACATGTACAGAGACAGAGAATATGAGTTATTAGAAAATTTTTTTCATGTAGCCCTGTCAATGGCGAGCCAATATGGTGGCCTACGAAATGTAAGTCCTAAGTTTCATAGAGAATGTATTATGAACATCACACAAGGTCCTTACCTCGTGCACACTGCATATTAGACCTGCTTCTGGTCAGTTGTAGTGTTTACCACAAATGTTCATGAGATTATATTATGGGGGCATGTTCATGTTTCACCACTTTGACATGTCCACCGTTTATTCTGCCAATGCCTACCCCCAGCAAACGGAGCCACGGAACAGAAGCAAGGTTTGTAACGGGCTTGCTTGTCTTGTGACTCGTTGCTTGTGACTCAAGTAATGATGTGAAAGAAAAACCTTCAGTTGTCATTTTTAGATCGTCCCGCAGATGAACCAACAACTGCATCTACTCCCATGCCAGGGTTGGACATGTCCAATTAATTGCCCGATTACTGGGGCCAAGTAAAAGCACTGATCGGGCAAGTATGATTCCCATAGCAAAGCGGCGTTCAAGGCAAAATTACAGAATTTTTTTGGTAAAAATTCCATATTCAGTTTGATGCCAGTCAAAATAATTATTATGTTTATCAGAAAATCCATTACTAGAACCTAGATACCACATATTGGTAAAGAAACCTCCAAATAGCTTTCAAATTGTTTTCTTATACTAATCCAGTAGCAATAAATGTTGTACTATGTTGTCAGACTTATCATATCATTAGTAATTCAGCATGAATTGCCTAAAAACTTTATCTGACTAAAAAACTGAAAGGATTCCTTGCAAAAAATGCATAGAAACATGTCATTTGTATTTTGGGCCAGTAAAAAGTGAAAATGACCAATAAAATGACTGTACTTGCCCGAGAAAGCAGCATTGCCAAGTTCAGATTTTTGAAAACTTGTCCAGCCCTAACTCCACGTGATTCCATGTCCCTTTCATGCATGTGCCTGATGTGTTGGTTTATATCCCCAGATGACAGAGATGGTGTTTAAGTTTTACCCACCATGTTGTGTTCCCCCTTCCTCCTGTTCCCACCTGTCCACTCCAGTCTGTGCCTCCACCCTAATGTGCAGTGTTGGTTGGTGGGATGTCCCCAATCACCAGAGTAAGGAGATATTTCATTGGCTGTTCCCTCCTCTCCTGACCTCTAACCTTGCCTTACCTCAGCTCAGAAGGGCACAGCTGGCTGGCTGTATTATACATAGTCCCAGTGCTACATGTAGTTGAGTACATGTATGTGTAGTGATTTTTACAGTACAGTGCAGATCTTAATCAACTTTTTTACATGCCATTTTATCTTGCTTTAAATCACAATTGAAAGGTGTGTAAAGCACAGATAAAACTCGTGCAAAAGCTGTGTAAACCATGTGCACTAATTATATATAATTACAGTACATTATGTAGCTGCAATTGCGTGTGGCTACTCGCAGTTACACGAACATCTACACATGTTTTGCAAGAGAAATGAATGCAATTCAGAGCTTTTTGCACTGCTTTTGCAGGCGTTTAAATCAAGAAATGAATGGCTTTCAATTTCGTTTTGTATGACTTAAAATGGAAATTTGCATGCTTGCAAATTGGAAGTTAGATCTGTACTGTACAAATGTATGTGATTCCAAATATTGCCATGCACATGCAATTGTCAGAATGGGTTGAGGGCAATCTCCCCTGGTGCCATTGCTTCTGGAACATGATACTAAGGTTGTAGTTTAGATGTTTGGGTCCAGGTAGAGCATTAGGATGTCTTGGTGTAGCAGCAACACTGTGCAAGACTGTCTGCTACATATACTATCATAATCATGTTACAATCATTGTATCATCATGGCTGTTTTAATTCAAATCTAACTACCTGATAATTTGATAACTAGACCTGATTTACATGCAGGCAAAAACTTGACTGCATTTGCATACAAGTTTACGAAAACTGTGTAAAATGACTGCTTTGAAGTACATTGTACATTATGTCGAGAAGCAGTTTTCGTACACTCGCATGCGTACATAGTTTTCAACCAGTAGTGTTACCATATGATTCAGGTTTTTGCCGACATGTTTATGGGGTCCTAGGCAGCATATGGTTAACTGCTTCAGAATGACAATCATTGTAATGCACATGTACATGTACTAATCAGCTTGCTACAAATAAGTGCAACGTGATGATTGGCAGTTCTTTCAATCTAACAATTGAATTCATTTTGATTGCCATTCACTAACTAAGACTTTCCATAGTTCGATATTGTAGAAACATGATAATTGTAGAGTTAGTCTTTCAATTTTAATGAAATAGAAAAGAGACAGTTGGCTTTTGCTTAATTTATGATACATAACTACTCAAATGCCTCAGAAACAACATTTAACTCTGAATGTGATGAAAAATGATAATGCATTGTGTAAAAAATCTTAAAAGTGGAGTAAATATTATGTTGTCTTTTGGTTGTGTCAAAGAGTTTTTTCTTGCAAACCAATTTTTTGACCCCAGTAGCACAACTCAAGCCTGCACAAGTCTGCAGTGCCGTTAACTTTTTTCAAGAAACCCCCCACAATACAAATGGTACAGGCCATGTTGCCATTGAAACTGAACCGTCTGTTCCTTCCCCAGTGGGTAAGACGGGGGTGTTCAAGTCTCTGCACGACGTGAGCGCCGTGATGACCACCATGGTGCTGGGCGGAGGGGGCATGTCCGGGGGGAAGGCCCTGAAGGCTGGGGACGGGGAGATGGACACCATCGTCATGGACACCAAACTGAAGATCATTGAAATTCTGCAGGTAATGTCTGGATTTAGAATGTCTGAATCGTCCTTGAACAAGCATCCCTGCAGTTCCAGAATAAGCCACCATAGTGGGCCCAAACTTACGGGGGCACACCCCAGTTTATTTGGGGCCTCTATTCGAAGCTGCACATCCTCAAATCTAGCGACCGTCTCTGGCGTGGAATAATTCGGAAGGAGAATAACTGTATATGGGACGAAAGGATATCTCTTCAGCTACAAGACAAGCTGAGTTTGGTTTCTTCAACCTTTTTAAGTTTGGTAAAATCAACGGAAAAAACATTATTTTCACTCCAAAATTAATGCCCAAAATTGCGAATTTTCGCGTAGGATAATCCCACAAAAAAAAATTTTCCGGCAGAAATGACTGATGCTGGCAGAAAGACCCAAGCCTTGACTATACCCGAGTAAATTATAAAGAAAATTCTAGTACTGTAATTTTCTAAACAGTCCACGGCGCGAGGGGTTGCAAATCCACCCCTATATACGAAGCCGCAGAGCGAAAACTAGGTCAAACGGGCGGATTACACTTGGCGCGCAAGGATACCCGGAAGTAAGGTTCGGAGCCAAAAGAAATTTTTACCCCAAAATCACCATTTCTTACACTATTCAGCCATGTTAATGTTTAATGATACTTCGTGGCAGTTTATAAGAAATGTCACCTCAAACTTGGACCCTCCAAACCCTTTCGTCACTTTTTTACAACGGACTATTGCGGACCCCTGTCGTGGAAGAACTGGGGTGTGCACCGTTACATCACTTACTCTCAGCCCTAAGAGCTTTCAACTACTCAAAAATCATGAACCTCACCTCAAAGTTTGAAGCTCAGCTGCGGTATGGTAGGTACCCACTAGAAGGCCCATTATCAAACTTGACCTTCATCTTTGCTGCCCCTACCCACCCACTAAATATCATGAAAACTTTTATGCTACGAACTTATCATTACCATTAACAAACAATTTGTCTTTCGCCCCCTTCCCACTCTCCCCGCTACCTTGAACATACAGTTCCGTGAACACCACCATTTTTCTCATTTTCTCAGACCAGGAAATTTTGCTATCGTGAACATTAAGCAAATAATAATACAGTATTTCATCCATGACTGGTCTCTGCCCATTACAGTTTATCCTGAATGTTCGTCTGGACTATCGCATCTCCTGTCTCCTGTCCATCTTCAAGAATGACTTTGACGAGAGTAACAGCAGCCAGCGAGGCGACACTCTGCCTGGGCTGGGCACCAACGCACAGGACAACTCTGGTAACTGGGAAAACAATTATCCTACATGTAATTTTGAGTATGTACACGACCTGAAAATGTATTCAATACCATTGAGTGCTGGATTCTATACCATTGAATGTGAAACGTGTCCAGCACCAAGGACAGAGAAGACACATCCACACCAACACATTCAGCACTAAGGACAGCACCATACTTCGACAAGATACTGAATATATGTGTATGAAACTATACCTCTATTTGGACAAAGAGACTTTTTGTATGCAACCAATAGTTTTATTCGGCCAACGTTCCAGTGACCGTCTGTCAACTTCCTCAGGGCAATTCTGACTGGTTCACATTGCACAGCACATGTGTCACTACTATTACTTTTGCATATCTTGGTTGTAAAAGACTCTCAATATTCAGTGACTTACCAGTCAGATGAAAGTATTCAGGGATATACCTCTTTATATACGGGAAGTTTTTCCTGTGTTGTAATATATGCAAGTATAAGAAAATATACTATCTAATGTGAAATGAACTAATTGTAATGTCATGAAGTTCAACTTGATATTCTTTCTCCAGTGGTAGACTTAGAGAAGATTGCACAACAAGCAGAAAGCATCTTTGATGGCAGGTAAGATGTTTATTTATTATTTAAAATATAGTTAATTGAGAGTACTTTATGTCCAGATTGTCATCCCCCTCCTCAGTAAGAAATGCATGTTCCCTGAAGCTTTTCCTATTCTGAAGTATGTTTAACTTTACAGTGACATGTTTCGTATCTTTCTATAAGTGCATTAAACTTTTATATGCCTTTAATGCTCTATCTTGCCTTTGCTTGTACATGGGCACATATTTTGTACACATCTTCATCTCTCACATTCTGACTGCTACACAATGTCATGTACTTGGTTGGCTTTTGTATCTGTATGCATGTCTTTTTCCATGAGAGTCCAGAGTAAAGGGTTGTCGTTGTACCTTACTCTGTGACAAACAAACAAACAAACAAACAAACATGCCGACTGCATGGCTGCATATGGAATGAATGCCACCAAGTTTTTCCCCTGCTTGTATATCTGCTGCACACCTCTCTGTGGAACACTGCACAGCAAATGGAGGATTATCAGGCAGGTCCAGTCATGTGAAAATTAACCTTCTCCATGCTACCTTAGCCCATCACCACTACAGATTTGGTGCCAAATGGCTACCTTAGCATGCTGAAGGTTAATTCAGTTATGTGTTAGTGCTAGAGGTTGTATGTTATATAAGGTAATGCCTTTTCTTTCCTGCCTCGGAAAGGTGTCATCTTTTTTTTTTTCAATGAGTTCTAAGGAGTTTTTGTGATAGCTGCAAACCAGATACATGTAGTTTTAGAATATAGTTGGTTGACGGCTATAGCTACTTGTATATTGGAATTTTCTTAAACATAACCAAGTATTCTTCCTAACGTCCTTAAAAGCTCTGAGAAAAGTGTCTGATAGACATCTAAACTAAGGTAAGCAAGGTAGGAAGAATACCAGGTTGTGTGTAAATTCCATTATCCCAGTAGCTATAGTAGGCCACCAACAATCAAGTACGTATGTTCTACCAAACTGATGAAGTTTTCGGAAAAACTACAGTTGCTACTTTCTCCTAAAAGTACATTAAAAGTATTTGTGAACTGGCAGATTTTAACAAGCTGTGTTCTCTGTTGTGTGCCCCCCCCCCCCAGTGATGAGTCAGCAGATCTGGACCTGGATGGTGCGGGAGGGCGGACATTCCTGAGAGTACTGCTGCACCTGACCATGCACGACTACCCACCCCTGGTGTCAGGTGCACTCCAGCTGCTCTTCAGACACTTCAGCCAAAGGCAGGAGGTGCTGCAAGCCTTCAAACAGGTGAGGCTGCAGGTGTTGATCCAGGTGTTCTGAAAATAGTGTGTACTTTGTTTTTTGGACAAAGTAAGAACTAACTGCGGCGAGGATGATGAATGGCTCAAGGATGAGGATGATGATAATGAATGGTTTGATGATGATGATGATGAATGGTTTGAGGATGATGATGATGAATGGTTCAAGGATGGTAATGAGGATGATGGTGATGAGGATGAGGATGATGATGATGGTGATGATGATGAATGAATCAAGGATGATGATGGTGATGATGATGAGGATGATTGGTTCCTGTGGGCTGACCCTTCCCTCCTGTTGTCCCCAGGTCCAGCTGCTGGTGTCCTCCAGCGATGTGGAGAACTACAAGCAGATAAAAGCCGACCTGGACGAGCTCAGACTGCTCGTGGAGAAATCGGAACTCTGGGTCTACAAGAGCAAGAGTGAAGGCGGCAAAAAGGTACAACCTTCGTCATGAAAGTTCATCTGTGTCAACTTTATTACTTAAGAGATATTAATTGACACATTTGAGTCAGTTGCAGTATCATACTTGTAAAAATTGAGGTAACCAGAATTAAAAGTAATATCCACAGCTTTAAAGATATTTACAAAGCATCATTAACAATAATATCTATATGTTGAATAATGACTTTTTTCCATTTTTTGCATATCTTCTCATCATCTTTAAACCCCCAGTAATGATATATGTTTCTTCATGATTATCTGTAGCAAATGCAGATTTTTCATTATCCTCAAACAAAATACATAGTAATATACAGTTATACCTGTAAAAATGTCTTTTTGCATGTAATATATAGCATACACTTACACATACACCTACATGTAATATTGACTATCGAAATTCATATATTGGTCAGTACTTTCAAAGCTGTTTTAGCATAAGCGCATTGCATGTTGTTGATGCTTTCTGCCACATTTATTTTACCCATGTCGCCTACATCAGAAGAAGGATAAAAAGGATAAGAAGGATAAGGACAAAAAGAAGGAGAAGGAGGTGAGCTTGGTGACAAAAGAAAGACTTGTATGTCCTGTTAACCCACCTCCCTCCTGCACAACTTAGAAACAACTGGTTTTTGGTGATACATTTGTACATGTATGTTTGAAGACACACCTGTTTCATGTTCTCATAAAGTTTTAATAACTCCCTTCAGGGCTTGAAATAATTTTTGGGACTGTGTGCCAAAATTTTAGGATAGGTGCACCATGGCACCCAGGGCTCGAAGTACCACATCCATCCATCCATCCATCCATCCATCCATCCATCCATCCATCCATCCATCCATCCATCCATCCATCCATCCATCCACTCACTCACTCACTCACTCACTCATTCATTCATTCATTCATTCAGATGCAGATTAGTGCAGGTAAAATTAGAGCTGTAAGTTATACATGTGGGTATGATGTCTACCTGCTTCTAACCTGCACTGGTCCATGTACTGAGTCACCACCAGTCCTGATATAATGGAAATGGCAAGAAAGTATTTTGAGCCCTAGGCCTGGCACCTATCCACCATTTCAAATGAATTTCGAGCCCTGCTGTTGGACGTCTTTACCCAAACACACTATCTTTTATTTCAGTACCATTACCCCAGCATTGGAAGATTCCACTAATATTAACAGTACTGGAATAGTGTGTTTGTCATTGTCATCACCATTGTTGTTGTCCCGTCTGTTTCTAACAGTTACATGTATTCCCGTTGACTAAAACATTTCCTTCTAGCAACCCATCCTACTGTATGTCTACTAATGGTATCTTCAATTCTTCAGGTTTACTTCAATGTAGTCTACATTTTTGTACATGTATGTTGGAAAGTTTGAGAGGGTTACAGTATGTTATGAAAGGCACAGTTACTGATTTAGATGTACAATGTACATGTCGATACATACACATTGTACGTAGATGTATACATATGTTAGAGCCTTCTCTCTTAGTCCCTCAACATCCTTCGTTAGATGGCTTTACATACATGTAGCTGGTATACATGTACTTGATTATGTTAATGACATATAAGACTCCATCTGCTAATTGTAACAGTACTGTAATCTACTACATGTATAATTGAAACAGTTAAAGAATCTCTTTACTTCTGTCAACACCATACTCCATAGGAGAAGAAGGAGTCCAGTACAGGGGACCTAGACGGGGGCGGAGACAAGAAGAAGAAGTCTGAGGGGGACAAAAAGGAAGGGAAATCGGTGAGTGGCACGCTGCATTACTCCTGTCATTCTCAAATGATATGTTTAATATTGCCCCACATGATACGAAAAACCTTACTTTAAGTTAGTAAACCTTTTTTTTTCTCTATTGACATGTAACATACATGTATCTATAAGTATGTTGTGTAAGTTATTGTTATATTTACCTTCAGGTTGAAGATCAGCCAGTACATATCCATTAGAATAATGAAGATGTGCCAAGGTTATAGTGTGGAGCAGTAGCTCATTTCCTCCTTCCTTCTCTCCTCTCGCTCTTCCATTCTTCTTTTCTTTCTTCTCTTCCTTTCTTCCTTTATTCCTTCTTTCCTTCATTCCTTCCATCCTTCCTTTCCTTCCTTCCATCCTTCCTTTTTTTCCTTCCTTCCTTCCTGTTTTCCTTCCTTTCTTCTTTCTTCCTCCCCTTCCTCCATCCCTCACTCCTTCCTTTCCTCCTTATAACCTACATTTTTATTGCAGGGAAACCTTGCATGATCAGTTATGGAATAATTGCACCACTGTAACCATACAATGTATCTAAGCATGCACATTATACTACGTGTACATGACTGTATGTCTTTGCCAATCAGAGCACCAAGCAACCACAATTGTCATACATTCATCCACAAAAGAGCTTGGCTAGCTAATGTTGTTGTACTCATTGTATAGTTAGTTAATTAACTGATTGGTTAGATAATTAAATGCTTGGTGTTACCAATTGTACATTCATATAAATTTAATTGTTTGATCGATAGATTGAATAATGTTTGCTAATATTTTGATTGATTAATTTTTATCAACAGGCAATAATCCAGGTTAATACATTCTTAACTGAATCATATAAACACCCAATCCTCAATTTTTTTGGCAATGCCTCAGGGGCAGAGCCCTTTAACGTGTAAGTTATTGCCAATGTCCCTCATCAAATGTGAGAATCTCCCCATGCTCCTTTATGTTGAAGCGAGAGAAGTTGATGTCACAAGAGTCGTCCATTGCCGATGATGACATCATTTATCCTGTTCGGGTGACCCGAGAACAATGGATTCAGTCAGTCCACATGTCAAAGGTTAGGAGGTCATCGCCTTGGCAACAGACATGGCCAATCCCTATCACTCTTCTGCTAATCTGGCGCAAAAGAAGCAAACCTCCCACTGCCTCTGCTGGTGGTGGGTTTGAGGTGGCAGCTTGCCTTTCTAATCTAATCAGTCCATCTCCCGGCAATGAGGGTGTGAAAATAATCAACGGATTGAAGCAAATTGAAGGGTGACTTACCAATTTTGGTCGCCCAAGGGTGGTGATGTGGTGATCCACTTCAATGGAAATGACTGAAAATGCTTTTGGTTGTAGTACAAACTCTTTGGTCGTATGTTAAATTTTCATTTTGGGTATAGAAGTAAAGCCACTAAAGACTGAGGTAATTGTTATCTTTTTAGTAAAAAAAGGGGTACAACAGTCAAAAAAAGTGCACCAAAGTTAATAGGTACTTGCTATTTTTTCTCAATATTCAAAGAATTAATTTTAAAATTCTTGTAATAACTTTGTACAAAGTTGCATTTGTATCTTTGATGACTTTCGTTATTGTAATACATGCCAGGAATTATTTCATGCCCAAGAGTTTGTACATTCATTCTTTTGCTGGGTTTCCATTAATTGATATTAAGCTATGCTGTAATTATTCTGAATATCTCTTCCCTGCTTTCTTCAATGCTGCCATGGACTGATACATATTACTAGTCACATCCAAAATACACAAAATTTAATGATTCATCCTCACGTTCAAATTGACAATTTTCCTCCACATTTCACACACCTGATTATGAGCCAATATTATTTGCTTTTTGTAATGCCCTTTCTCTAATACCTAACAGTTTTGTCACACAGTTTCTGCCACTTCAGTCTGCATTGTAGTTTATTTTCTTTCTGTTTGACATATGGACTTATCCCAACCCTTTTCTTTTCTGGGCATTTTATGCCAATTTTACAGGCAAATACTGCATTAAAAGGCATGGTAAGTGAGGCTTTGAGTTAAAGTGCATGTACTTATTTTGTGTGCTGCTTGCAGACTTTATGCATTTTAATTGTGGTGTGTCGAATTCCCTGCTTTCGTTTACCATTTACCATTTGTGTTTATCAAAAGAGTTTTACCCAAAACTGCACCCAAAGACACATTGTGTAAGAAGAAAATCCCAATATTTTAATGTTCTACCAAATATGAATTTGTTTTCGGATGTATCATCAACATATTGTACTAATAATAAGCTTTAAGTTAATAACAAGCTCGCTTGGTGTAGTGGTTGTGACTAAGTACCTACTTTTCCTGTGACTAAATGATCAAACCTTTGGTTCACATAATTATACCGCAAACTTTGCTAACTGGTTTTTACACTTTGGTGGTCATGGATGTTGCACATCAACTTTTTGGATGATTTTTGAGCCTCAATTTGTCCAGTCTTCTGCTTTTCAATGGAGAAAATTTGCAACTGTTTAATAGATCGTAATAAGCTTGAGGTCAACTCCTTGTTAGTTGCTGGTACAACTACCTAGTGGTTATTCTAGAAGCCAGAGTCAGACATCACTTGTTGATTTCTCCCACAAACAAGTCAGCAATTTGAAAAATGAATAATAACAAGAAGTCCTAATAAAACATACTTTTGCCCTGTACTACACAAAAATGTACAAATTAAAAATAATGTCTATCCTTTGTGTCTTTCCGAATATTTTGAAGGAAGTGTCATGTTGCTAAAATCAAAGTTTCTTTCTACTCCAGTCCTTGACGTCGTCCCAGGGTCCTGAAGGTTCTGCCATTGACCTTGACATTGGACCTGCCATGGACCAAAACAGTGTCAAGAATTACAAGACCATCCAACAGGTATGTAATGTCACAATAACATGTACAGTAAGATCAGGATTTACTTTGCTACCCACACATTTTACATGTGGTTTTAAAAAAATTGTGCTTTTGTTGTGTAAACACTGTGTAGATAGCATGTAAATCGTTATTGAAGGCAATGTATCGTTTTAATCGAGAAATGCACCGTCTGTACTGTATGCCTTGAACTATCCAAAAAACTACACTGTCATTGCTCTAAACATTGCAATGATCCTATAGTTGCCTACCCATGTCATCCCCTTGAACAACTTGGCAAAAGTTGGTGTAACAGAGTGGCAACTACATAGCTGCAGTCATCATATACTTAACTACTAATTTTGATGGACCTACATGTAGATCAGTCTATTGCCTGCACTTTTCAACCTATGTGAAAGTGTTACCTTGAAGCAATGTAATAGAGGTTTTGATGAAATGTTTTCCCCCAGGTTCTGATTCGCCTGAGCCAGCTGTGTGTCCATCAGTCCAGTGGGAAGAACAGGAAACACGAGCAGCGACTGCTGAGGAACATGGGAGCACACAGTGTCGTCCTGGAGCTCCTACAGATTCCCTTTGATAAGGTACAGCGATAATGTTTTTGATCAATTTATTTCTGCACTTGCATGATTTGTCCACGTTTCAGGGAGTGTGAATTAAAGTCTTAACTCAAACTATTAAACCACATGCTAACTCAGGAATTTGCGATCTTCATGCTGTTGGGTAAAAAATAACGGCAGACCTCATGAACATTTTCACTTGGTTTTATAGGAAATGTAAACAAACTAGAAAGGCCAATATTTGCTTTGGAGCAAATACAGCGATGGGTTCACCACATTTTACCACATGGCAGGGAAAGAATGAGAAACACAAGGGAAAACAATGATTACATTGATATAACTATAATATGAAGTAACATACAACTAAAACAACAGTTGGATAGCTATTCCCTACTTTATTGGTTAGGATTTTTAATTGCATAATGCAAACTGTTGATTTTCAAAATAAAATAAAAAACGTTCATGCCCCGCATTCCAATGCTGGAGCAGAAAAGCTTGAAATACCTACCAAAACACTTGAATAAAGACATACTGTCAGTATGGAAATGCTCTGTGCAGGTGTTAATCAAGTTAAATCCCAACAGCCAATCAGCAAGAAATGCTCTGTACAGGTGGAAATGCTCTGTGCAGGTGTTAATCAAGTTAAATCCCAACAGCCAATCAGCAAGAAGTATAGAGGAAAGCTGCATGCCTATTGGTTGATGCCCTGCATTCCATTGTGATGACTCATGCCCAGACGTGGTAAACAAGGCACACTAAAACAGTAATACATTTGCTATAACACAGCCAAAAAACTCAAATAAAACCATTCTAAAAGCCTGTATCACAAAAATTTAAAAAACGCCTAGGGGTATTTGCCCACTGTACCTCCATACCAAATTTCAGGACCTTAGGCCCTAAAATGAAGAAGCTGAATCCATTTAAAGATATGGCAGGAGGAGGAGAAACATTGTGGTGGTGAACCCATAATTAGGTGTGATGTTTTCTCCACCGATGGCCTGCATATGAAAGGGGGCATATTTCTGTTTGTACTGTTATGAAACTATCCCCTCATCTATAATATAGAAAATGTCGGTATCTTTTTGTTATATGGAATGATCTGTTTCCATGTAAGTCCCTGTCACACACACACCTTCCCCCGACCACCAATCAACCAAGATTGGCTGAAGTTTGGAAGCAATGTGACTAGATTTAGACCACGCCTACCTTTCTATACGAATCATATATAAACTTAGAGTTGACTTTCACTCCCAATCATGTCCAAAACTACTGCCTGCTATTTTAACTTCATGGCTGCTATCACTTGATTTATGATTTTCTTTACCATTGTAGAAGGAAGACACCAGGATGAACGAGATCATGCGATTGGCCCACGAGTTCTTACAGAAGTTCTGCCAAGGAAATCCGGCCAATCAGGCACTACTACACAAGCATGTGGACCTGTTCTTGACTCCTGGGGTATGCTCATCCAATTTCAAGATCATCATATACTGATAAAAGTAGAGATAAAAGTTTAAAGTAATATACTATAAAAAGCAATGATAATGATTACAGCTACAATTGAATAGAAAAGTACCAGATACTTGCATGAGGACATAAAAATGTTGTTTGTCTTGTAAGGAGAAAGTAATCATAGGCTATTCTGAAAAAGTGTATTAGCCAGCTTGAAATTTTTCTGTCATCTCAATTTTGTTTGATGCCATATCATTTTTAGCACTGAATCACCATGCAACAATCCTAGGTTGCCTGGGTAAATTTTGAAATCTCGACCCACTGAAATGCTATTTCCTACATTTAGTGCAAATTTTGCTGGTAGACTATTAGTAAATTTAGTTTGATGACATCTCTTTCCATATCTGAACACACTGATTTTTGTCTGATATACTAGTAGATGGCAAAATTTTTGTCCATCATGAGCAGAAAAATTCCTTCAAATGATGAAAACAGGGATGCTGGCTAGAAAAGAGTCTTTTTATTTTCTCAGCTCTTGGAGGCTGAAACCATGAGACACATCTTCATGGACAACAGCATGCTATGCAATGAAGTGACAGAGAGGGTGGTACAGCACTTTGTCCACTGCATTGAGACCCACGGCCGCCATGTGCAGTATCTGAAGTTCCTACAGACCATTGTTAAAGCAGAGGGGCAATACATCAGGAAATGTCAGGATATGGTCATGGCTGAGGTAGGGGAGATTTTTATCTGTGATACATTGTAACTACATGTATATTGTGTACATAGATGATTTAGTGTGTATGTGTATGTTAGTTGTCCTTGCTGCTGAATTGTTGTCCATGTCTGTTTGACTGTACTTGGTGCTGAGTTGCTGTCCATGTCTGCATGTTAGCTGTCTTAGTACTGATTTACTGTCCAACAAATCAGCACCAAGGACAGCTAACATGTTACATTTTAGCTGTCCTTGGTGCTGATTTGCTTTCCATGTCAACATGTAAGCTTTCTGCTGATTGGCTAATTGTGGCTGCATGGGCCCTGATGTAAATTGCCTCCTTTATACCTCTCACATATTCCTGCTCCATATCCAAAATGCACAACTTGTGAGTTCCTTCTGCGTTGGATCAAAATTTAACTTTACCATTATGGAGTTTTGCTAACACAGATGAGCTTTCATTGGAAAGTCTCTCCACCGGAAAGCATGCCCTCTCTTTAGAACTCCCTCCACCAGCAGAACTTTCATACATACTGCAGTACACATCTGGAACAGTCTCCCAGACAACGTGGTCGGCGTGATCACTGACAACAACCTCTAGTCATTCAAAACAAGAGTACACCAGCATCTTCTTTCCACTATCAGGACTTCTACATGAACCTTGCTGTTGTTGTAAACCAATGATTAGCCAGGAGTGATATTTTAATGTTACAACCCAGGCTATTGTTTTTTATTAGCCCATTATAGAAAAAAAGTTTGATGAAGTTCCCTGTCGTCCTGACAGTTGGTGAACGTAGGAGAAGACGTCCTGCTGTTCTACAACGACCGGTCGTCCTTCAACACGCTGATCGAGATGATGCGGTCTGAGCGGGAGAAGAGACAGCTGAGCAGCCCCCTGATGTACCACATCAACCTGGTCCAGCTGCTGGGGCTCTGCACGGAGGGCAAGAACGTGTACACCGAGATCAAGTGCCACTCCCTCCTCCCTCTGGACGATATCAGCAGGGTGGTGGTGCATCCAGACTGTCTACCTGAGGTTTGTTTGTTTGTTTGTTTGTTTGTTTGTTGTTTTGTTTGTTTGTTTGTTTGTTTGTTCAAAGTATGTCCCTACCAAAAGGTAGGTACTCATTTTCACTTGAGTGAAGTGAGGAAGTATGCTGCATACATTGTATCTGCAAACATAGTCAGTATAATACATACATGTATGTACAGCAATGAAAGATATTTAGGTTAAATGATGCGAATAGCTACCAGTTATGTTTTTGAATTTTAACTTTTAGGATATGTTGGACAATGTTAAAAGTTCTATTATGTAACAATAGACTCGCTGGTAATATCGCTGATTCTATGGCTGTTAGATATCTCGATCAGAGTTTCTGTTGACAATTGGGATCACTACTGGTAAAACCACCGATTATACTAAATAGGAATCTCTACTCTGTTTCTCAGTTGTTCTACTTCCCTCTGGTGTCTGTAGGTCAAAGATGCTTACATCAACTTCCTGAACCACTGCTATGTGGACACGGAGGTGGAGATGAAGGAAATCTACACCAGTAACCACATGTGGACTCTGTTTGAGAACTTCCTCATCGACATGGCCACGGTGGGTAAAACAAGTAACAGTCATTGTACTTTTCTGCATGGATATGATTTAAGAGGGCCTGCATGGGGGGTCTCGACAACGCTCTACGCTAAATTTTGAGAGCCGGCTACGTATTATGCTGAATTCAGGAAGCCTCCCAATTACGTTTTACCGTTTTATTCTTTATTGACGGTACTATAGGAAATAACATGTCTTTTTATTTTGCAAACCAGATACGAGAGAACTGCGTTTCTACTGCTAAAGAAGTATCTTCTGTAAGTGCAACATGCTACAAGGCTTAGTACATGCAATGTATGAAATCTTGCTGTGCACAAAATCTTAATACTTAGCCCAATTCTTTTACCTCTTCTGAATTTATTGCAAAGACATACAGTCAAAACTGCCCAAGGAGACAACTCGGGACCAATGTGGACAGGTGGTCTTTATAGACAGGGTTCTTAATGCTTACAAGTGTCAGTTGGAAAAAAATCCAAAGGACCATCGAAAAGGGGTTACATTGGCCAGGTGTCTTAAGATCCTAAGTTGCAATCTACATGATAGTCACTTATCTTGAAAGTTCATCTGTGTACAAGTGACCATCATTATAAAACAAGTTTGAATTGTAATGGCCAACACAAAAAATTGGACTCACACAACTCCAGTCTTTGTCAGTGGATTGCTCATTCCTTGACAAAGACTGAAGTTGTACAGTTGAAAATTTGGGTGAGTTCAATTTTTTGTGTTGGCCATTACAGTTCAAACTTGTCCCATAATGATGGTCACTTGTACAAGTTTCGCTCTAACTGTTTTCTCTCATCAAAATTTCTCGTGACAGACTCTTAAAAGAATGTAGACCATCTCTATAACTGAGACACCACGGCCTTCTTTGAAAACTAGAATTTTCCTTCCTCTCAAGGTTTGCAAGACGACAGATCGTAACCACGCCGACCCCGTGCTGGAGCATTACGTCACCAACACCATCATGAACATCATCACCATGTTCTTCAGCTCCCCCTTCTCTGACCAGAGCACCACAGTTCAGGTAGGTGGGCCACTGTCTGTGGCCTTCTTCAGTCAGTATTGACCATGGTAAAATCCTAATTGTTAACAGCCCTACAACCACTGACAATCCATCAGAAGCATACTGAGGCAAGGTGTACATCAAATGTTGATACAGCTTTCTCCATTCTGGTCCCCACCTGTTATGTACAGATTTGAACTGTTTCACATCTGATTCACTTCTAAAGGTGCTCAAAGCCATTTCAGGGTGGCAAAACTGGATTTTTAAAGACAATTTAGAGCATGTAGTAACAGATCCAATCGGAGGAAGCTGTTATCCATAGAAATGTAATGTTGGCAGCTAGAATATTAGTTATTGTCTTCTTTGTACATTACTGTGCTGTACTGTACTGTACTGTACTGTGATGAAACATGTAGCTGTTCAGTCATGTATGCCTATTTTCTTCTTGGACTTGACTGTCAAAGCTAAAGCTCTTTCAAAGAAGGTGTTGATGTGGTCTACATCTACCCATCCATGTACCTTGTAAAAATACAGATACCATGACCATGGATGTCACCAGATCAGCCTTGGGCCTAACCCTGTATAACCAACACAAATTCAATACTAAAAGACTACTTCAGCTCTGAGAAGGTTAAAAGGCCTGTAGATGGAGCAGTGCAGCATGTAGAACTGAGCAACAGCAGTGTCTTTGAAAGACGGTGGTTTTGATTCAGTGACTGTTTTGAGTATGTGTCCAGTGCTAACAGGCTAACAGTGCAGCATGATTGCTCTGCCTTGTTCTTGTTCTGTTCCACCTTTTGTAGAACCTAGCAACATTGTACAATGTTGGTTCTGATATATGTACACATACATGTGAGTTCTGTGGCTGGTTAAAGTACAATGTATGTGTGCAGTGCTGACAGGGTTTTGCAGCATGATTGCTCTGCCTTGTTCATGTTCTGTTCCACCTGCATGTTTACCAACAGTTTGTTTATGTCAGTGCCAAGGATAGAGGTTTCCCTACCCCTGACACTGATGTAAACATCTGGCATGGCTGTGCCCAAGGCAAGAACTAGAGCTGTGGCAGCACATTCTCTGTACCATATCATGAAAGTTCATCTGTGTTGGTAGTAATCATAGTGAACTTTATTCCAACACAAGGTTTACACAGAGATCACTGCCACCTTTTATCAGAGAGTTACAGTTACATCTCGAGGTAAAGTCTCGAGTGGATAAGGTCACGTGTATATAACTATAACTTTTGCGAGATTACATTCGGAAGTGATTGGTCATTAATTATCCTGATGAAGGCGACAGTGGTCCTTGAAAGTTTTATCTCTTGTAACCCTTGTGTTGGAATGAAGTTCAACATTTTACTCTGAACTGAGTTTGCTCGTTGCGAATTTCTTGTACCATCACAGGAATATAGTAGGTTGTAAACGGAATATCTCTGATATGGAAAGCATTGAAAGACAGCATTTCTCCTAAGAACGTATTGTGCTATCACAACCAGACTCAGGTCAAAAGGGTGTACCTTGCCTTGAGCTTAGCTATGCTGTTTTTATATACTCACACTTTCCCTACTGTTGGCTTTGCATGGACTTAAATGCTTGTGTAAGTATGGGCTTCTTTCTCATGGAGTGCTCGAAAAATGGCCCTGTTTGAGAGGTACACTTGTATATGCCTGTTGTTATCTGTTTGTCTGTTTTTCTGTCTGTCTGTCTGTCTCAATTCAATGATTTGGTCAAAGTTTCAGACTGTTTAAGTCTTTATATTTTGTCATGTATTTCATAAGTAGTCCATGCTTCTTACATGCTCAATGTAACTATTCATTCATTCATTAAATTATTTTTCTTTTGTTTTTCTGTTTGTTTGTTTGTTTGTTTGTTTGTTTGTGTGCTTTGAACTGTACCAGGTGTTTCTCAGCCCGCAGCTTCGTGCTGTTGTCAATAGTATGTTTTTCGTAAGTACTGTGCATGTTGTGTTGTCCCCAAGCACAGTAAGCAAACTATTCTGTTTCCCACTTTTATAGCAACCATAAAACATATTTTATACACTACATGTACTTGCACATTATCATTAGCATGCCCTCATGTCATCTGCATTCCTTCCTGTGTTGTCTCTTGCACTGTTTTCACACACAAAATGGTTAATCAGCACAAAATATCTTGTTCACACTATTGCCCCACACATCACTTTTACAGTCTCGCATATTATAGAATAAATTGTTGATGAATCATAATCTCCGACATAAGGTGGTATAAAAGTAGATATTATATATTTCCCATACCTTGTGGTTCTTCTAGATTATGAAACGTTATTGGAATAAGTAAATCCACATAATCCCTCACATTGATTGAAATGGACATAACGTTAAGTTATTATTTAAGCATGGGAAGTGTTTTGGTGACCAAGCCCTTCATTCAAGTTGCCTCAGAGGTAAGCATTTTGACAGATGATTAGGAACATCCTTTTATGCCAGTAAATATGTTGTTTTTCTTTTTCCTTTTTTTCTATTCTCCCAAAGACCCGACAGCCAATCTTCGTCCAGCTGCTGTCCGGAGCGTATCGTGTGTCGCAGTGCACATGGCTGAACACACAGCAACGCTGCATGGTGGAGACTTGTATCAAGACCCTTACAGAAATAGGTAATGCAGCATATGTGGTATTGTTTGTGCATGAAGTGTGGTACAGTACAGATCTTGTTCAACTTCCCTTCCCACACATTTTACTAGTGGTTTTACTTGTTTATTTCACATGCAAAAGTTTTGTAAATCGAACTTACATATTGCAATTATATTGAAATTGATATAAAACACTTGTCATACATTTTTGAAACTTGTGCAAAAGTTGATCGTGATTTCCACAAGTGTAAATAGGAAGTGATTCAAGATCTGTACTGTATTTTCTTTGTATACAGCTTATTGCTTATGCCTGCTGCCAACCAATATTAAAAGCTATGAATTTCTGCAAGATGACCTGGGGATTTCAACCTTTTTTTACTAAAACTGGAGCTGAAGAAAGTAATACATGCATACGTAGTCAATAGCTGTTGTTCATTCTTGATCAAAACAGATGTTTGGAAGATGAAATAATGTCAGTGTTTTCAATTTTCGAGGAAGAAGTCAAGATGAAGCTGCAAACCGTAACAGACATTTGTGCTCATTGTTGTTCTTTGTAGTGAAGAAAAGGAACATTTTGGTGCCTGTAGACTTAGGCAGCCACATCAACATGCCCGCCAGGTCTATGTCAACGGAGAAGTGGCGCAATACGTCCAGATCCATCGTTGGTGGGAACAGAATGCGTACCCTTTGTTCATGTCTGTCCCTGGATGCACTAAAAATCATCTAGTAAAACTAACTTGTCTGTCACCAATGTGAAAATTTAGACTGTCCTATTTCATGACTTTCAGATATATCTAGGGACCTTTAAAGTCTGCTTTTCCGAGTTTCAAACAGTGTGATTCCAATCTTTGGTCCTTGTATGCAATTTGTCCAGTCTGCTATTTTCTTTTTGTCTTGTATACTAGTTACAAACATTGTCAAATCTTTCAAATCAATCTCAAAATTTCGAATCCCAAGTAGTTGATAAAATTAATTCTGCGCACAATTCTGCATTTAATTTTTCTTGCAACTGGCTCCAAAAACTTATTTTTGGTGTCAGAATACTAGCATTGTTACTAGTAAGTAAATTATTTGGTTACATGGTTAGTTCTCCTGCTCCCTTGACCTAACAAGAAACTGTTCAGCAAAAATTTACCGCTGTATAGGCAGCTGTGGGATGAAAATTGTATGTGAATTGGAAGAAGTAAAGAAGTAAAAAAATGTTAAGTCCAATGAATTACTGTTGTTACAGTACTGTACTGAAGAAAATTCTGAAAATGTAGCATGCTTACGAATGTGTGAACTACTAATTGCTTTTGCTTGGGCTTGCTATGCAACATGTATTCTAGTTCTACTGCAAATGTACAGGTCTAGGTTCAATGCACAGTGACGAATTTATAACATACATCTACCCATAATTACTCATAATCATGGTGTGCATGTATGTTGAAGACTTGTTTTGATGACGTTGTCTGCCCAAGTTGCTGAAGGATGCAGTGGTATGGGGCTGCCTGATGTTAATAAATATTTCAGCCTGTCCAGTTTCTGTTGCTATGAAGTCATCATTCCTACTCAGTCATCTAACTAAAGTCTTCTCATCTCCCATTTCTGAATCAACAGGCGTCATACTGATTACGTCATTCTTTTCAGCCTGGAACTACATCTGTGTCACTTGTGTGTTGGCTGACAAACGGCCATCTCATCCAAACATGTACTACCCCAGTACATTGGTAGAATGTACTGTGCCTGTGCAAATGCCATTACACAAGATTGTATTTGCGTGTTTAAGGATGACATCTTGTCTGTAGTTTAATTTTCAAATGTTGTGTTTGGAAAAGATATTGACTGTAAAGGGCAAAATTCTGATGCAATGTTGACCAAACATCCGACAAAAACTGTGAAATTCCAGGTTTTGCTCAGGCGCAGTACGTTTAGCCAACGTTCTTACTACACCGAAAGTTTCACAGTTTGTGATTCTAATTATTATAGTATGAGTAACAGAGCATGTCGGTAGAACGTACTGCGCCTGCACAAAACCTCAATTTTTCACTGTTTTCGTTGGATGTTTGGTCAACGTTGCATCAGAATTTTGCCTGTTGCATACAACATCTTTTGTGACACAACATTTGGAACTACAGACAGAGTGTTAACATTATATGCGCGAGTACGACCTTATATGAGATGTTCTGCTAAAGTGCTATGCACAATACATTACGGGTTTCACGCAGGTGCAGCACATTCTACCAATGTGCTGAGTAACATCATAGAGGTAGAAAAAAGATCTCTTTTCTACCTCCATGGTAACAGTGTGTTACCTCCATCATATGACTTACTTGTACATGTATATGTCTTATTTGTTCACATAGCGAAGAACCGTGGCATAGCCATCCCTGTGGACTTGGACAGCCAGGTGAACACCCTGTTCTCCAAGTCCCAACTCCTCATGGCCACCTCCCGTAAGTGGCTGAGTACGCGGGGCTCGTCACGACGAGACTCCATCATGGCCATTTCACGGGACACCAGGAGCATCATTGAAGGGTTGCAGGTCAGTCTGTTACCGTGGATTTCTGTCTTCTTAATTCATATAAGAAGACTATATATTTGTCGTGATAAGAAACTGCTGGAGAGGAAGAGCTTGGTGTTTAGGATTAACACTTGACGCAGGACTAACTGTCTTCATGTTGTACTCTTTTGTTTGCTCATCAATACAAAGCAGTGTTCTAGCCAGCCTAAAATTCAATAATTTGAGGCATCGTAGTGGAGGCACGGCAATCCTTTTTGGGCCCCAGGAAAATTTGAAACTTTAACCCTTTGAAATGCTGTGGGTTGTTGTATTTTTTTTTTGCATTTTGAGGGCCAAGGTTAGTTTAATGAGATCCTTTTCCATGTCTTTACTCCCCGATTTTTGTCTGTCATACAAAAGTTTTTTCTGTCATGAGCAAAAAGACGGATGCTGGCTAGAACACTGGAGGTTCAAAGTTTATCTGATGATTTAGAAAGTAACATTAACTGCCATGACTAAACAAGGAGTCCCAGAACTTGTCCACTTATGTTCCTGTTATTCATTCTTGTTAACATTCATTCACCTTGCTTTTCTATAGTTTTTCTCATCTTTCCTTTCCTCTCACCTTTCCGTGAGTCAGCAGTGGCAGGACTTGGTGCCTCCTCCCATGGCTGCCAACAGGCGCATCGTGGAGCTAACTACCAAAAACCTGCCACAGGTAGCACTGTGCCTACCTGCAGCATTCAGCAAAATCATAGTCAGGAGAAAAACATCATGTCTTGTGTTGTACTAGCCTGGTGTCCAGTCTATCGTGGTTTGAGCGGGCTCTCTTTGGGCCAGGAGATGATCTCCAATGCCTTGTTTAACTAGTCTCCTGGTAGGTTTTGCATGACAGGGGGTCACACACTCACTCACTGTTTATCGTCTGTTGGTCCCCGTTTTATGAGGGATAGATGTGCTTGCACTGTGGTACTGAGGCTTGATAGCAGCCCGCCACTTGCCTCTGTCCTGTGGGTTGATGTCATCTAAGTTCAAGTGGTGGAGGTCCTCCCTTATGTTGTCGAACCAAACAAGGGTTTGGACCCTCCACATCAATTAGCAATATATTGTGCCACTCAAACTCCTACCAAGTAAAACTCCTATGGGCATTTAAAAGTCCTACTGGTAGCCTAGTTAAACTTGGCAACAAGCTAAAAGAACATCTACAGGCCCGAAGGGAGCCCGCCTAAACCACGATAGACTTGATACCAGGTTAATGTTGTACTAGAAATTCCGCTCATACCATGTCACAGTGGTTAAAGGCTTGAAGCTAATTGGAAGAAAACATTACTCTGTCCCTCTGCCAAAGTTGCTGAATAGCGTGTTGTATTTAGTTAATATTTCTTCAGCTATGCATTCCTTCCTTGTGTTATTTGATACTATCTCCAGCTCAAAATGTTTGTCTCTTATTATCACAGCATGTTTTCTCTCAGGTGCATGTACTGCATACTACAAGCTTTTCTTGCATGAATCATGAAATATGTTTTCCTTATCTACTACTGCCCTCTTCTCTCTCCGGTCATCAAGCCAAGAAACTCCTTTTCAGCAGATCCAGACAGCATGCTGCCGGTATGTCCACCAGACAGTAACAGCCTCAATCAATCAATTTACTGTGCCCTAATTGTGACCCAAAACCCTCACCGGAGAAGGAAAATTCTGAAAAACCTGGCGTAGGGCTTGCAACCCAACACGTATTGTTTGCAGTAGAATCTGTAACAGCCTGCCATGCAAAAATATCTAGCCACTTTTTGTTAAAATTTAAAGTGCTTTGCTGAAGCTTGGTTATTCCGCAAGATCTTCATAGTCTCAACCAACTGTGTAGTAAGCTGCGTAGCTCGATTACACCTTTTTAAAATGAAAGCCACATTAGCTAGAGAGCTTCTTTTGAAATGTAACTTCCTCCCTTTGAAATGAGTTCATGTAGCACAATGATATGAAAATAAAAGAGGATTTCCCCTCAATAGTCATTATGAAGGAGACAACAGGAAGAGAAATTCAGTTTAAGACATTTTATGACTTTCTTGGCAGTGTAAGAAGGTATCAGTTGGGAAACACAGTAAGATAAATGTCTTTGAAATGTGTTACAGATTTACATTGTACAAGTGCCACAAGACATTGATTTTTGTACTTGTTAGGAGAAAAAGGCTTTCGTTATAATTAGTTGGCTGACAATGAAAGGAGAAGGACCTTTGAAAGAGAAGGCATTTTCTACTTGCTGGTAAACCCTTATTTTGACGTTGTTTTGCTGTTCCTGCTGTAGGACATTGTGTCCTTGCTGGAGGACCAGCTGCGGCCGCTGGTGCAGGCGGAGCTGTCTGTGCTGGTGGACGTGCTGCACAGACCTGAGCTGCTGTTCCCGCCCGGCTCCGAGGCCAGGCAGAACTGTGAATCCGGCGGCTTCATCTCCAAGTAAGAACCTCTTCTGATGATGATGATAATGCCAATCTGCCAAAAAATCGGCGTGTTGGGAGAAAGTTGTGTAAAATGCCTTTCCCAAGGCCACAACACCGGGGCATGTAGGTGGAATCGAACCCAGGACCCATAGGTTCTGGGCCAAATGCTCTACAATTACGCCACACAACGCCACCTAACAAAGTCTCCAAGTAAGAACCTCACCACCTTGAAATGTTCTGTATAAGGCCTAGGAAAAAAATGTTGTGTTTCTTGTTTCCTGACCAACCGTAGAAAAACTGCCAACCCTAGACTTTTTTGGGGTAGAACCAAAATAGAATCATCATCGTTCACTCAGCGACAGCTGCTAGCCTATGTATGAAAGTCAATAGTGTTTTGATAGTTAAGTAAACTTTGGCATTGTGTTTATTTGTGTTGCACTTTCCATGGTGCTGAAACCAGTGCTGTTGACACATCTTTTTTTCTAATGGATATCTCAGCATGTGCATTGTTACAGTGTTGTATCAAGCTATGCTTTGTCCCCTGTAAGCCCCTATCAAGTGTATACCAGTTTGTGTTGAACAGAATACATTTTTCGTAGTTACGTAGTCCCACGCCATAGTGGTAAGGTTTGGAACATGTAACACATACTGCACCTGCGCGAAACCCAGAGTTTCCATTGGATGTTTTGTCAAAGTATCACAAGAATTTTGCCCATTGCAAATGATACCTTTTTCGACACAACATTTGAAAGCCATAGAATGGATGTCATCCTTCTCAAGTACGTGAATGTGACTTAATACAAGACATACTGCTGAAGTATTATGCACAATACATGTTATACATTACAGGTTTTGCATATAGGCTGCGGACGTTCTGCCAATGTTACAGACCCTACAGAATTAACAGTTTCAATGTACTCACTTTTGTCACATTCTGGTTTTCGACAGGCTCATCAAACACACAGAGAGGCTGCTAGAGGAAAAGGAGGAGAAATTGTGCATCAAGGTGCTGCAAACTCTCAAGGAAATGATGACCACGGACATTGACTACGGAGAAAAGGTAACCATCCCAGGCACATGCTCATCATTGTCTCTGCCTTTACGTGTAGATGAAGACCCATTTGACACACGGGCAAAACCTTATGTACAAAAATTGTGTACGCACACGCGCATACAAAAACTGCTGTTGCTTTGGCCTACATAAAGAACTACATGTAGCCCCCCTCCCCCAGTATGTTCAGATTGTATGTTACCCACGAAGTAAAATGTAATCTGAACATACATTCCTAATTCCATCAAAGCGGGCCAATTTACACGCAGGAATAATTTACCAGTATGGTGTACCCAGTTTTTCATGCTCTGTTTTTTATACAGTTTTTGTACATGAAGTTTTTGCCTGTGTGTGTAAATCGGGTCAAAGACTGTTCCATACTGTGTTAGGTCTAGCATGCTATCTGCACAGTCTCCTATTATGGAAAGTGTCTGCTTGTCTCTCTTCATTTTGTTGTGGAAGCTAAGGGGTCCAAGCTGACCCAACCTTTAACGAGATAATACAAAATAACATAAGACACATCTGAAAAATTTGACCTCAAACTGGGTGAATATACTTTGCACCATCATTGGAAAATAGTCTTGTTATAAAAAGAATAGAGACTGACATAAAGTCAAATGTTAGCCCTGCTTTTAGACATTTACAACTTGCCACAAATACCTTTTTGTGTGCATTTTTCCTCTGTTGGTTCCTATTTATCTGTACCACTGAATACTTGTTCTTTTTTTGAGCATGGACAGACACATGTATGTCATGATCTCATGATCATAGCTTACAACTATCCATCTTATACTTTTGCATGAATATTCCAGAGTGCTGCTATGATTAGTGGTTGCAAATGTTTTGCCATGTTTCCTTCTAACCAGCATGTAATTTGCTTGTTGATTGTCTCTCCCATTTGTGCATGCGGCTGGTAGATCTATCCTGTAGAGGGGGAAGATCTGTTCACCACAATGAAGGTGCACCAACTAACATCTTGCCTTGTGTGACGTAACCCTTAACCCTGACAGGGGCTCGACTCAGAAGTTCCTTCTCCGTTTCTAAAAGTCACTGGTTTCCCCACACAATTTATGACTCAAAAGTTCCTTTTCCGTTTCAAAAGTCATTGATTTCCCAACACAGTTTACGACTCAAAAGTTCCTCTCCATTTCAAAAGTCACTTGTTTCCCAACACAATTCACCATTGTAAAAGTCATTAGTTTCCTCACACAATTTATGATGAAAAGACATTCAGATACTGGCTTGAACCTTGTCCCTGCTGCCAAACCCGGTAACTAACGCAAAGTTGGTTCAGGTAGGGTACTTTAGCAGGGAGAAGGTTAACTTTGGAATACCTAAACACTTCAAGAGGCAGATATGTAAGACTGCTAAATGGGAACTTGACGACAGAGTCTTTCCCCCAGTTGTTGTTGTTGCTATGTGTTTGACTTACTAACAGCAGGTTGTTGTTGTTGTTGTTATTATGTTTAAATGACACTATATCTATGCTTACTTGCCAGACAACCACAGTATGGTTTTGGGAATCAAAAAGATGTCAGATTTTCAGGTTTAGAAGAGTTTCAAAAATAAACTTTTTTGCCTGTACTGTAAAATGAGAGTACATGTAGTATTTTTGGTTCAGTGAACAATGAATGCTTACATGTAGCAGTTATGTTCAGAGAACTACACCCAAAACCAGCTGGTAGAGTGCATGTACAATGTATGTCATGCGTGAAGTAAATTGTGAGCTTGTGTTGTAAGAGCTGTGACTTAGTGTTCTGTGTTGTGTTTTTAAGTAAATTTAGACAGAATTATCACTGCTGAAACCTTTCCAGATGGCACAGTCACAGATAGAGCAATTGGAAATACACATGTACATAATTTCACATTTATTTTATTTCACAAAGCAACGCTGCATTGTGATGAAATTATAATTACAATATGCTCTGTTCCTGTTTGTGCCATCTAGATTGTGTAACATGTCTACATGTACCTTCAAGGTAGATCATTAACATTTTCTGAAAAAGATCTAACTGGACATGTAGTTCTACCCTGGGACAAAACTCATGAGGCAGCAGGCTTAGAGTTTCAAGCACACGTCCAAGTGATAGCCCATCTCCGACTCAAGCCCCTCCCCACTATCCACTGTGCCCTAACTTATAAGATGCGTAAACCCTCTACGCCGCTATTCGAGGTATGCTACGGGGCTGCGATATCCTGTTGCATAGCAGCATACAGTGTTGCGAACCTGGGGCCCAGTGAATAGTGGGGAGGGGAGTGAGTCACGGACAGGCTAACCGTGATTTTGTCAACTCTCCGCCCACTGCCTCAAGAGTCTGCTTCCAGGGGTAATGTAGTTCTGTACAAAGAGGATTAGCAAGAACTGTGATGTACATGTATGACTCATTTACTACATGACATACCATGGCTATATCCATTACCAGCAGTTAAACCTATGCTTGGCATTTTTGCTGCCTTTTTCCTACTTCTCTGTAGACTCTGTTCTGCTGTAGCGAAGTTTTAATCAAGTTCCTGACAAATTAAAGTCAGAATCATTACAATTTTACCATTTTGGGAATACCAGCCAGTGATACTGCTTAAAATTTGAAACACACATTCAAGACAAATGGAGAAAAAAAGTGTTATACTTCTACATGTACAAATTGTACATTTTGAACATTCTTTCAGGAAAGGTTGTAGTGGCTTTTAGATAACATAGAGTGCTCTCTTTTTTGTCCTGGTTTCTTTCCAGGATCAGAATTTCCCTGGGGCTATGTAGACCATTGTTCTAGCCAGCCAGAACTTTTTTTACGTCATCTCGAAAATTTTGAAGCCTTGACTCTCTAAAACACTTTCCTGCATTTTGATGGGCAAATTTTGTGCAATGGCATCTGTTTTCATATCTTTACATGCTAATTTTTGTCCATCAAAGATGACTGGCGATATTTTGTCTCAAAAAAGAGAAAATTTGGTGAAATGATGGAAAGATGGATGCTGGCTAGAACACTGATGTAGACTAATGTTCTTCCCATGTTGAGCTTCTGTTTTCTCTCCTCTCTGCTTCCTCACTGCTTGCTCTCACCCCCCTCTTCTGCTGCCTGCTGTGGGCAGCAAGGGGAGCTGCAGGCCAGGAATGAGCTGGTAGGTGGCTCTTCTGCACACCTCGGGTGTTTTATACTAACTTGCCGTGTCATTCTTTGCATGCTTCCATTGCCATGGTTACAAAGCCTCGGGATGAACAGTCAAAGAAGCAAATTGATGATGCAAAGAGGGTAAGGGTTGAACAGAAGCAGTGCTGTCAGAGAGTTCAACAACAAGATGCTATTTATGGAAAAACATGAGCCTGTTGTACATGTATCAGAATAAAACTTGTATTGTTACAATCGACAAAAAGAATCTCAGAAGCCGGCTTTATTCAGAACGTTTACAATATAAAGCTGAAACAAAAATTAAAGTTGAACTCTTAGAGCACTTAGCATCTGCTAAAGTATAGAAATGTAATATGTGTATTTAACAAATGTCCCTATTGATGTCTAAAGTAGAACTACAGTAGAACAATAAAGTTATAGTATGAATGATTCTGAATGAAATTTCCATTTGGTTGCCTTTCAATCTGAAACGATTTGCACATTTGGCGTGTCTAAGCCACGTTACTATCAAAATACAATGCGGAAGGCTGAAAATGGACATTTTGTTCAGAAGCATGTTGCATGTGGTTGATCTCACCAACTAATCTGTATGCACAACATTGATAGTAATATCTAATCTGCACTGTTTCACTGCATGGGCGTGTATTGTGCTGCCTTGAAAATAACCATTAATACTCTTATACTTGAAATCTTGTAGTTCTCATCGTTGTCTTATAAATAATACATAGCAGAACATTACTAGTACATCATGTGCAACTTTGTCTTCATCAAAGCTTTCTGCAGTACCGGTATGGAGATATGTCCAAAGACAGTGTTCCTGGTCATTTTAGAATCGTATAGGAACATGGTCTATGTCGTATTGTGTCATATTATGGACGATACATCTGTGTATTTTTGTCAAAAGTTGGAACGACAAGTTTCTCTATGGTCCGCATGCAGCTACCACATCATCTTTTCATCTACATTTTTTGTATTACTGTTTTGTAATCCAGATCTGTACTGTACACCCATGAATGCCCAGAGTTCCCTCACTTTCTTGTTGTACTGTCAGTACATTATGGTACTTCCCTGGATGCCATGAAGCCCTACTACATGTACATGTACTGTCCTCCTCAACCTCCACATAACGTATTATCACAATATACATAACATTGTGCATTTTCCCTTCTGCATCTTACCATTAAGCTTCATTATCATGACTGATCATGTGTTGTATACTCATTGTGATATTGTTTTGTCACTGCATCTAGGTAGTTGAATGCGGGCTCAATACATTCTAATTTAAACAAAAATAGATTTGCATAGCTACCAAGGAATACCAATATTCCAAAGACCTTTTTACTTTATTGAACAAGTAGTCCAGTTTTTAAAGGTTTTAGATATTATTTTGTAAGTTGATGAAGATGAAGATGGGTTTATTTTGTGTACCAAATCTCCTAGTAGTGGAATAACGATATTTGGTTTACCCGCGTTCTAGGGTGACAAGTTACGCAGCAGCTTGTTGACACGGTACTACGGGAAGCAGCACCCGCGGGCAGATCGCAACCGCAAGGAGAGCGGCTCGCCGAATGCACAGCCTCCCCAGCGCCCGTCCGTGGCCAACCCCGCCCCCGGGGCACAGATGGTGGGGAGGGCGGAGATGTCGTTGGCAGAGGTGCAGTGCCACTTGGACAGAGAGGGGGCGTCGCTCCTGGTCACAGACTTGGTCATCAATAGGTAGGAATAACCTTCAGGCCCAGGACATGATTCAAACATTTCCTTGCTCTGGTGTAGAAAGCATCACTAAAAGGTATTGCAGACTTGCATTAATGTACCTGACAATATTTATAACAATGTTTATATGACCAATTGTCAAATGATAATGATAATTTTGTTTTCACAAAAGTACCATATTTGATATTGAAAATTTCAATCCATGACAAATTATTTTTTGGCAACACCTCAGGAGCGGAGGCAGTTTTACAGTACTACGGTTGCTTTGAAGGGCAAGAGTGGGGGAGGGGGGAAGATTTGGTTAAGTTTGCAACATCCAGTGGTAACAATTGTGTTGTACATGCACAGCACCAGTAACAGGGTTTTTGAGGAAGCAGTGGAGCTTGGGATAGCATTGCTAGAAGGTGGCAACAGTACCATACAGGTGAGCCAGCTAGACAGTCTTTGAACAAGTGTAACATTTAACTTTAAGTTGTTTGTAACGTTCATTGTTTTGATGTGTCATTACTTATTTGGACTAATTTTGGACAAACGTCTCTACAAAAAGAAGGTCAATTACATACTGGGTGATGTTTCTTTCTTCAGAAATCTTTTCTCAACCACCTGCGGGATGAAGGAAAGGCAGAAAAGTTCTTCAAGGTTTTCTATGACCGTATGAGAGAGTCTCAGCAAGAGATCAAGGCCACGGTCACTGTCAGTACCGGGGACAGTCTGTCTGGAAACAAGGAGAACAAGGATGTAGCAGTGAAGGACACACCAGCAAAAATAAAGAAAGGTAGGTTAAGCACTGTGTGCTGTCATTTAGTTCACTTGATCAATTGTGGTATGTTAAGATCCAATTTACACGCAGGCAAAAACCTAGCGGTATGACAACTATGTATGCACACAAGCGTACGAAAAAGTAGAATTTTTCCTATGTGTTCCTTAACGTAGGTTCCTGACATATGTCGAAGCAGGCCGATTTACATGGAAAATCGACTTGCAGTTTTCGTACGCTCGTGTGCATACGCAGCTTTCGTACCACCAGGTTTTTGCCACTTGTACTGTAAAATAGATCTATGTGTAGTTTGCTGCTGGTTTGATGTGGGAAAATATTTTCCTTGTTTCATTGTTCCAGTGAGATATTTTTGTACATGTACCACTAACATCTCTGTAGTTCCTAGTTTAGTGTATAACTCTGGGATTGGCTCTGATAGTAGCCCTAACTACTGTAACAGTTACGGATACTATTATTTTCCAAGGGTGTGATCAATCCTTACAAAATAGTAGTAGCCCTAACAGTAGTGTTTTATAATTGTTACACTAATGTCATACATAATTTTCGTACTAGGCTGTATAAAATTGTCCATTTGCTGAAGGTTACTACATGTAACTTAGATCCCTGATTTGGCTGTTCCTGCTTACACTTACAGAGCAGCCAGAGGAGAATCTAACATCTATCTACAGGACTATGGTCCAAGTCTTGAATTTTCCAAGAAAATACCGGGAGAGGGTTAGAAAGCATGATTTGTTAGAGGCAGCTGACCACACGTTGAAGGCCTTTGGTAAACTTAGGCATTACACCACCAGGCGTAGGCTGTCGGCATATGACCAGTGTAACTGTAAGAAACAGGTGTCACTCTTTGACCTGATTTACACGCAAACAAACACCTGACGGTACAAAAAATGCCTATGTACGAAAGCGCACGAAACCAGCGTACATCAGATTTTTCCCGTGTGTAAATCAGCCTGGTTTGGCGTACCCCAAGAATGTAAAAAAACTATGTTCAGACAGTACGTTACCTCGAGGGCTGGCGTGTGATCTGAACGTGCATTCTTGACGTAGTCAAAGCAGGCTGATTTACACGCAAGAAAAATTCCATGTACGCAGTTTTGCACACTTACGTGTGTACGCAGTTTTTGTACGACAGGTTTTTGCTTGCGTGGGTAAGTCGGGTTTTAGCATGGTTTGCGGTGGCTGTGGTGCTCTGTGTCATCGATGCCTTTTATACAAGACTAACGCCTTTGGGTGTGTCTAGTCCTAAAGATTTCGGTGAAAATGCAAGTTGCACTTTTGCATGAAATGCTGCTCGATGTCGAATTTTACTGTTGTGAAAACGAAAGTTAGGGATCTCTCTTGCCTCTTGCTGAAGTCAAAAAGTGCCCTGCACCTGAGCCTTTAATTTCTACATCCTTTGTTCTTAACCCTCGCCATACCGAAGTTCCAGCCACACAGCAATTGTCGTTGCAATGACAGCACAAAGCAGCAGGCTGATGGTTAACAAAGATGAGTTCCTGGTGTGGCAGGATAAAGCTGCTGTTAGCTCCTCCAGTAAGGGGTGATACGTAAAACTCAACTGTTCCTTCCAAATAAAACCACATTACTGTACTTTTTTTATGGTCAATGTTAAGACAATCATGACAACCACATTAAATTTTGTAATATTTCAGCACTGACACCTAGCTGCAGTATGAATCCAGACCAGTCATAACCCTGAAGAAGATGAGACCGCCTGCAACCAAAACATTGGATTATAAACCCACCGGTTGTTGAATAATGAATCTTCTGATATGTTCAATCACATCACGATCATAGTAGTAAACATTGACCAGTTCAAAGTGGTTTCATTTGGAAGCGACACCTGTATGCAAATTTCTCAAGCCTGCTTATGAACGACAAGTTGACTCTCCCAGGTGCAGGTTCAGGCAGCCCAGGTGCAGCCATGTCGGATGACGTGAGGGACCAGCTGGCAGATGCAGCGCTGCAGACCAGTAAGGCGTTTGGTGCCATGAGGCAGGGACCACAGGGAGAGGATGCCGCCAACCCTCTCTCAGGTCAGGACTGCATTCATCAGATTTTAAATTCTGCTCCTTGTCACGTTTAAGTGAATTTACTACCGGTAACCCCAATACAGGGTTCAAATACCCAGTTGCACGGTAGAACCATATTTTGTGTCCATCGTACTTAGAAACCCTAGCAAAAATTGTATCCCTTGTGCAAATGGCCTGCCGAGCAGCAACCCTGTGAAGCTTGACTGACAATGAGAATCACTATTGCTACCATACTAGCGTCAGAAACACACAAGTTCTCAGCAGAGAAAGACAATCAGTCTCAACTCTAGGTGACCTACTGGCACCTCCTGGAAGTCTGAAATTTCGAACTTCTTGTAACAGTGGTATTTGTGCTCATGAACATTGAAACAAATAAACCAAATGCTCAGATGCTTTGAAAATGTAATGTACTTTAGTATCTCTCTCTCTCTCTCTGGTTGTCCATCGTCTCCGATTTAGTATGCAATAATAGAAATCACAAAAGACTACAAAATTGTTTTGTGGAGGATGAAGTTTCTGTTCTTAGGGTTTGACAAGGAGACAGAGAAGAAGAACGAGGAGCGAGGCATGAGTCCTGAGATCGCCATCATGAAGCCCATCCTGAGATTCCTGCAGCTACTGTGTGAGAACCACAACAGGGACCTGCAGGTAGGGCAGGAGGATTGATTCATCCTGAAATAATTTCGGGATAATATGATAAAACATGTGAGGTCGTGTGGCGATGCAAAAGAGTGTTTGGCTCAGAAGAGGTCCCGGGTTCGGGACATTTTAAATATGTTGTAAATATGTACTGTTATCTTTGGTTAAATCGATATGATCCTATTAGAATCTATTATGTAAGATTTTAATGGAATGATTAACAGATTTCATGTTATCATGCAACGCTGTACAATGTATGTAACATGCAAGTTGATTACAATAAATATCAAATCTCAATCTCTTCGAATCCTGCCATGTCACTGATCTTGTGTCCTTTGGAAAGGCACTTAACATGATTTTCCTCACTTCACTCAGGTGGAAATGAGTACCTACATTTTGTACATGTACAGTACCTGTACCAGTACCTGTAATTTCAGTTAGAGCAGTCCAATTTGGCACCAAAATTGGTGCCAAATGGCTTCCTTAGCAGGAAGAAGGTTAAGATTGCTGCATATACAAGTGTACGTGATCATGAGTATATTCTCTTCGACCCCCAGAACTACCTGCGGAATCAGAACAACAAGACCAACTACAACCTGGTGTGTGAGACGCTGCAGTTCCTGGACTGTATCTGTGGCAGCACCACCGGTGGGCTGGGCCTGCTGGGACTGTACATCAACGAGAAGAACGTGGACCTCATCAACCAGACACTGGCCAGTCTGACCGAGTACTGCCAGGGTCCCTGCCACGAGAATCAGGTATTCAACTCTACAACACAATCTGGTTGGTTTCTTCTGCCATTGAGCAACTTCTGGAAGGATTTGACGGATCATGTGTCTGTATCATCAGTGAAAACAGATATTAATAGCTTCTTTATAGACATTGATAGCAACAGTCTGATAGATTTTGATCTTCATCATCATTTGCAGCATATTTTACTTGATACAATGGACATGATGAGCATGCCATCATCTGTAATGTATTATGCATAGTGCTTCAGCAGAACATCTCTTCCAAATTCCAATTTGCATTGGTATTCAAGAACACTCGGTCTGTAGTTTTCAAATGTTGTGTCGGAAAAGGTATTGTGTACAACAGGCAAAATTGTTATGCTGGCTATAGCTAACATTGACTAAATATCCAATAAAAAAACATTAAAAAGTCAGGGTTTGCACAGGCACAGTACAGTACGCTCTGCTGACGTGCTGACATTAAATGGAAATGGACAGTTACGATATACATACTGTGTAAAGACAGTGCTATATTTAGACCAGAGTCACAGAACTGTTAGCCTAAATCATAATGGAAAACTCACTGCCCCATGTGTTCTACAGAACTCCATAGCCTGCCATGAGTGTAACGGAATTGACATCATCACGGCTCTGATCCTCAATGACATCAACCCTCTGGGTACACACCGTATGGACTTGGTGTTAGAGCTCAAGGTAAGTTCCTCATTGTCATGTTACTTCAGCCTCTGCTTTACATGTGTAAACTACACTTAGAATCAGACCATCATTAGATAATTCTAGCATCTAAAGACATTTGAAAATACTGTTAAATCTTCTTCCCCCTGACAGAACAATGCCAGTAAGCTGCTACTTGCTATCATGGAAAGCAGACATGACAGTGAGAATGCTGAAAGGATCTTGTACAACGTCAGTCCAAAACAGCTGGTGAGTCATATAAAATTATAAAAAAGATAAATACATAATATAAACCTAAGTCCTATCGTGAAAATTCATCTGTGTTGGAAGTTTCATGTTTAAAGTTAAAACTTTTGGTCCAACACAAAAAATTCTCTCACCTAGAGCTTTCGCCCAGTCACTCTGGGTCAGTCTACTGAGGAAAAGTTTTAACCTTAAACATAAGTTGGGGTCGTGTGGCGCAGCGGTAGCGCATTCAGCTCGGGACCTAGAGGTCCAGGGTTCGATCCCCACCCATGTCACCGATCTTGTGCCCTTGGGAAAGGCACTTTACACGAATTTCCTCACTTCACTCAGGTGTAAATGAGTAGCTAGCTTCAGTTAGGGACGTCCTCGCATAGGACGTAAACTGGAGGTCCCGTGTTTGAGGAGAGCCACACCTTTCGAAAAAGAGTAGGGGCATGCCCCGGTGTGCGATGGTCCAAATTCTACAGCCCAAATACTACAGTGTAGCAGAATCATCAGCAAGTTGATGTTGGCTACCTTAACCCCAAAGACAAAGACAAGATAAACATAAGTTGTATTTTAAATTTTGTAGTATTATCTGTGCAATTCATGTTTAAATTTTAATGAACATGTCAATGCCAATATCAATAAGGCTGAATCTATCTTCATCCTATAAATCCTTCCTTTGGAAATGTCCATCCAGGTTGATGTGATCAAGAGGGCGTACATGCAGGAGGAGATGAAGGATGATGAGGATGATGAGGACAGTGAGGAGGATGAGGAGGAGGACAAGGTGTCGCCCAAGGAAGTCGGCCACAACATCTATATCCTGGCACATCAGGTTAGGACACTCTAGCAGTGTGGCACTTCACAAACACCCTATACCATGTGTACAGTAGAGTAACTTCCCATCTACCATGTCTACAGTACTGATCTTTTGTGACTTCCCATCCACAGTACAGGTGTTCAAATTGCAATCATAAGTCGTGCAAAAGGTGCTTAATAGCTGAGCATTTCTTGACTAAAATGCATGCAAAAGCTGGGCAGTTCCTTTTTAAGTCATGTTCTTGTCTCATGTAAAACAAGTGTAGATGTTCATGTTTTCATGTGTGGTTATGCCTTATAGATTAGACACACAGTATTGCAGCGAATTAGTGCACATGGTATAGAAGGCTTTTGCATGAGTTTTAATAGCATTACACAGCTTTTAATCATGATTTAAAAGGAATTTACCCCACATTTCTACAAGGAATAAAAAAGTTAAAACTGCATGTAAAATGTGTGGAAAGGGAAGTTAATTGAGATCTGGTATATCTAGGAACATCAGGCCTAACTTACCAACTCTAGCAGTAAAAGTGCAGCACTTCACAACTCTCTTATACAGCTCCAATTTTACCAGAACTGTCAAATTCCGAGCCCTGCCATTTTTTCCATGAACTAAACAGAACAAGTAAAGATAATTCTAGTGCCAAGATATGTACAATGTACTTACGAGTCGTAGTTTTTATCTCTGCAGCTCTCGCAGCACAACAAGGAGCTGGCAGCCCTGCTGAAGCCCAGTAGTGCTGCAGACTATGGCAACACAGCCCTGGAGTACTACGCAAAACACACTGCACAGATCGAGGTAAAACAAGAAAAACATTCCAGTATTGCAAGGACAGTCTTCTAGCTAGCAGCCATCTTTCACCCTTTTTTTGCTGCTCATGACAGACAAAAATTTTGCCCAATCTGTCGTCTTTATTAGACAAATATTGGTGTGTAAACATATACGTGTAGGAAGAGATGTCAAGCATATTAGTCTACCAGCAAAATTTGCCCCTCAAAATGCATGAAATATTGCTTTAGAGGGTCAAGATTTCGACCCTCAAAAAGCATGAAACAAAACGTCAGGCTGGCTAGAACACTGAGCAAGGACATTTGAAGTGAAGTCAAAAGTAGTACTTCAGTTGGAACCACTTAATTGTTTCAATAATTATTGGATCAAAGATACCTAGCACCATGATACTTTACAACATTTAACACCTCTTGAGATAGTTCTGAAAACATATCAAATGTCACTTTATTTTTTTGTTGGTTTGAACTCTCTGGAAATGATTGTCTGACACACATTCACACAGTATAACACAGACACACACACACACACAAACGCTACCAAAAACATAACCTTTTTGTCAACACCTTTCTCCATCCCTCAGATTGTGCGTCAGGACAGGACCATGGAGAGGATTGTGTTCCCCGTGCCCAGTATCTGTGAGTACCTGACGGAGGAGACTAAGTCGCGCGTCTACCACACCGCCGAGCGCGACGAGCAGGGAAGCAAGGTGTCTGACTTCTTTGAGAGATGTGACGACATGTTCAACGAGATGAAATGGCAGAAAAAACTCAGAGGTTGGTCATTGTGTTGGAATCACGAAATTGTCGATGTTGATGAAAGTTTGTCTGAAATTTTGCGATAGATCTTGACACCTGAACTGTAGATTATTTTACATAGAAACAGATTAATGTAGTACTACGATCTTTCTTCTATGTACAATGTAGTTTGAAACTGTTAAGCCATTCAGGCCAAATGTCGAATCGTCATGAAACTCAGGAAAAAGTTGCTGTTATTTGTAGAAGATATTTGTAAAATGGAATTCTTTTTGTACCTATGAATCATTTTTTAGATATCTTCATAATTTTGCAGGACTATTTTTGTGGCTATTCTGTTTCATGCATGCCAACCAATAGGGTTGTTTGTAACGATTGAACTTGTCATGTTAGCCAATGAAAGTAATGTTTATGGGTTGTATTGTTCAAATCAGCCAATGAGACTGTTTGTTGTGTTCCAGCCAATCCCACCCTGTACTGGATCAGTGCACACATGTCCCTGTGGAGCGCCATCTCCTTCAACCTGGCCGTCCTCATCAACCTCCTTATAGCCTTCTTCTTCCCCTTCTCAGGAGGAACAGGAGGTAGGACTGAGACATTGAGCTGATTTAATATGTGGCAAAAATCTTATAACTGTTACAAAAACTGTACACACACACTAGTGTATGAAAACTGCGGACGTTAGATTTTTCCTGTGTGCAAATTGGCCAGCTTTGACATATGCCAACATACATGTACATATAGATTGGACACCAGCCGTTGAGTTAACGTACGAAATAAGGTTTTTGCCAATCGGGTCCAAGACATACACATTTCTGAGATATACATGCAGTTTGCAGGTGAAGTAGTTTTGTTAACTCTCTGTCAACTTTCAGGGTATTCTTCAGGACTATTTGCTTTAGCCCCCCTTCCACAATTGCCGATCAACTGTTGAGTCACCAAAATAAGATTTTAGACTGGAATATGATGCACAACATAGAAAACACTCACACACACAAAAATTGTTCTTTGTGAAATTTGTGGAGCGATCTTTCAAATGTTACAGCCCCAACCCCAATGTTTGTTTTCTACAATGACCAGAACTTGACCCGCGGCTGTCCGGCCTGGTGTGGACGGCCATGCTGGTGTCCTTGGCAACAGTCATCACCCTGCCCAAGGCTTCTGGGATACGAACGCTCGTGGCCTCCACCATACTCAGGCTCATCTTCAGCGTAGGGCTGGAGCCAACCCTGTGGTTAATAGGTTGTGCAAATGTGAGTGAAAACTACCATTCATTCTACCAAGCTCTAGAGTCCTACAAAATGTATGAGGGCCTGCATCGGGGGTAGTAATTTTTACAGCAGATTATGATTTACGTTAAATTCTCAAAGCTGATTACAAACCATTACACATTAAGGCTTATATGTATTGATTTTGAATAACGATGATTTGGGGTGGCTGCCTACAGATTAAGAAGACTAAAATAAAAAGGCCTGATTACACGTTACAAAAAAGGGCATGCAGACCCTCATGTACATTGCCTTGATGCAATGTTTTAAAAAGTGTGTTAGAATGTTTGACAAATGTCCAGTACTATTGCAACTGCTCATAATCGGGTTGAGGTAAAGATTTAATATTAGTGTTAGATGTAACTTGGAAAGAAACTAAAACCTTCAAGTTTTCAGAATTAATTGCTCAGTAATGCACGCAAGCTTATTACTAGTACCATAGTTAGTCACTGTGTTTAACCTTCTCCCTGCTACCTAACCCCATAAACAATTATAGAGGAAGAGTAGCCAAAGGGCTACTCCAGTGTGCTAAAGGTTAATAGCGTCTTCCCTAGTGACAGGTGTTCTTTCTGTCTTAATTGTAGCAATATATGTCAAAGCTGACAATGTACATGTACTTGTATTCTCTCTCACTTCTCTCACCCCACATCAACCCCCCTCTCTGCACCCCCCTCTCCCAAACACTTCCCCCCTCCTGAACATGGGGTACCAACAGGTTGGGACTATGTGCTTCATGGTAAATGGTGTCTTCTTGCTCTCAGTGTTGGCTGTAGCTGTGCACTAGCTGCAGTGTTATTAAATCCTCCTGTATACATAGTAACTGTTAGACCTGTAGTGATATGTAGTTAGATAGCTTTAAACAACCTTAACAGTTAGATGTGCAAAGGTTAGTTGTGACGGGTCGTTCGGTGTAATATAACCAGCTGCCAGCGCGCTGTGTGCCTGCAAAGCTGGTGTGTTACGCCGAAGGACGGTTATACCGGCTATACCAATACAGATACAGACAAATACTAGGCCGCAGTATAGGAAGCTAGTCTTCAGCTTTGCTGTTCACACTCTCAAATTTTACATGGAAACAGTTATAGAAAATAACTTTCGTTACATTTTTTTGATCAGATTAAATAATAACAACTGTGCAACAGTGAAATTTACTAAATGAAGATTCTGAATAAGCTACACCTCAGAATTTTATAGGTTGAAATAAAAGATAAGCATTTTTCTTTCCACCACGTGTGTAAAAGTACATGACTTTTGTATGTATAGTTTAATGGTGGACATACCTCATATTTCATATTTGGAATATTCTGTAACGTCAAAATATGAAGTACAATTTGTCCTCAGACAGATTTCCTCATCCAGAATATTATTTGTATTCCCACCCTGAAATTGCATTATTGGATGCCTTTAATATTATTGCTTGTGTGTTTTTTACCAGGTTATAAATAAAGCTGTGTTCCTGGTCAGTCTGCTGGGGAACAGGGGAACCTTCACCAAGAACGTCCAGGCCATCATGGGGGATGTGGAGCTGTGGTACTACGTGGCTTACCTCATCCTCTGTGTGCTGGGGCTCACCATGCACGAGTTCTTCTACTCAGTACTCGTAAGTTGGCACAAACCGCGCGAATATAAAATGATTTACAGTATGTCTGACCCTTTCCAAAATCATATCCAGTTGGTTGAGTAACTGCTTTTTGGCGTAAATCATTTTATATTCGCGGCACTATTATATTCACGATTTTCATGGTCATGTCTGTACTATAAATTTATCATTACCGCGAACAAATAATTTGCCGACTTTTTTCTTCTGCACGTCACCACCACAAACATATAGTTCAGCAAACGTCCAATTTTTCTCAGACTGCGACCTAGCTACACTGCTACCGTTATTATGATGTGATTTACAGTATCATTGCAGTGTTCCAGCCAGCATCTGTCTTTTTCTGATCGTGATAGACAAAAATTTTGGCCAATACATGATCTCTGACAGATGAACATCAGTGTGTAAAGATATATGGAAAGAGATGTCATTTAAACAAAGCTTTAACCACTTTGAGCCATTGTCCAGCTTCCCCATTGTACCAGTTTTAACCATTTTATGTCATGTGTTGTCCAGCTCCTGGATGTCGTGTACAGAGAAGAAACCCTGTTGAACGTGATCCGGTCAGTCACCAGGAACGGACGGTCCATTGTCCTGACCGCGGTGCTGGCCGTCATCCTCATCTACCTGTTCTCCATCATCGGTTACCTGTTCTTCGAGGACGACTTCTTGGTGGACGTAGACCCGGCACCTCACCTGATGCCAGGTGTGTACAAGGACCATTTTATAAGTCAGGGTGTCTTGTCCCTGAATGGCATCAAATGGCTGTATGGCTCTCCTAGCAGGCACTTTATCTAAAGATCGCAGGTTCAATTCGTTGATGTTGTGTCCTTGGGAAAGGCACTTTACATGACTTTCCTTGCTCCACCCAGGTGTAAAATGGGTACCTGACTTCAGTTGGGGAGGTAAGAGACAGTGGAAATAGAGGGATGGTCTCCGCCTTGTAATATTGTGCCCTAGACACTTAATGTGCCTAGACACTGCCCCTAGGACAAAAAGACTTTTCTTTTCCCTAATCCATATATTATATAACATGTGAATGAATGACATTAGGATTTCATTATATTCTAGTTTTAGTGAATGTCATAATGATTGTTCTTATTCAGACCAATGCTACATGATATTTACTGATATTTAATGGCATGGATCGAGGAGTGGAAGAAGGACTTACACATTTGGTAAGAGAATGCCAGTTTCCCTTCCATTTTCCCTTCTCTCTGCCAATTGTGCTGTCCTAACATTGCTTCCTCTGCCCTGTTCTCAGCTCTAGCTGGAGGAGGGATGATGTGTACACAGGAGGGCGGTTGTGAGGGTACAGACTCACCCATGGCAGCTATGTTTGGTTCCAATAACACAGGTAAACATCAGGCAAACTTCTTACAAAACCTTTAGTCAAAGACCCTGTCACGGTCACATAGCCGAATGTGGCCTCCCGAACACTGCCAAATTCCTTGCAACTATGGTCAGGAGTATGACGGGAGAAACATGGCTGTGGTTGGCCGGTGGTCTGAAAGATCAGCTCCTGTTTGGCTGCGCCAGCGAATGTTTCAAGATGTTTAAAACTTGGTTGGCTGGTGTTCGGGAGTAGGTCATCATTGTTTGAGGTGTGTGCAGGAGTCAAATTTGATTAAGATTTAATGCAAATTTGTTTAGATTCATGGCCTAAATCTAGTCAGACTTCTCCCTAACTTAAGCCTTGGATGTGTGACAGGGTCCTAACCTTTGAATACTGTAACTCACAGAAATTTGATTGCAAGTTCCATGCCTGTAGCCAGGGGGAGTTCCCGTACACACTCGAAGATCCACCCAGTGGGATTCTAATCCTATTTGTCTCTGATTTTCCCTTTAGAATCTTCTCAAAAAATCAGGAAATGCCATTTCAGAAGGTTCAATTTTCAATATTTTCCGGACCCCCCCTAGGAAGCTTGCATGCACTCGCTGGTCCCTCGGACATTAGGGGGACCCCAAGCAAAATACTGGCTGCGGGCATGAGTTCTGTTGAAAATGACCACTCGTGAAGAAAATGTGTTGTCCCACAGAGAATGTTACGGAGGTGTTGCTGCCTGTAGAGGAGGGGGGTGGGGATGAGAAGGAGAGAGCCTGTGACACCCTCATCATGTGTATCATCACCACCCTGAACCAGGGCCTGAGGAACGGGGGAGGCATCGGGGACGTCCTCAGGAACCCTTCCAACAAGGTAACCAGGAACTGCACGTACATGCATGTAACACTATGTTGCAACAAAACCTATATATGTATGTCACATTAAGCTTGGTACTGCATTTCTGCACAGTAACATTTAGCTCCAGCACTTGATGAAGGTGACAGATGGTCACAGAAATGTTGGCTTATTTAAAATGGTTGTGAATGAAAGAACTTTTCATTTACCAACCTGGTGAATCATTTATGACGGTAACCAGAGTTAACCCAAAGACATGGGCAGATTTTACACTGTACAGTGTGTTAAAGGATGTCATCAGTTTGTAGATGCTGCCATATTGGTGTGCAGTTGGTTTCAACCCTTGTTCTGGCTAGCATCCGTCTTTTCGTCATTTGAAGTACGCTGTCAACAACTGCAGTAGGTGCATTATCATTAGATTTAAACAATGTTTAGAGTAAGATGTTCAAAGGTGAGGTGTAACAAGTAATATAGTGTAATGTGTATTGTAATGTAGCCTGCTGCCACCATGCCGTGTGCCTTCGAAGCTGATGTGTTACGCCAAAGGGTGGTTATACAGATACAGATATAGAAGGAACTTTTGCTCAATCCATCATCTTTGCATGTGTCAAGAAATTAGATTCTTTAACCTTCTCCCTGCTGCCGAACCCCATAACCAACAGAAAATTGTAGATAAATGTCTACTTCAGGTTAATACCCCTCTCTTTTGTCTGTCTTCCCCCTACAGGAGTCGTTGTTTGTGTTCCGAGTGATGTACGACCTGCTCTTCTTCTTCGTCATCATCATCATCCTGCTGAACCTCATCTTCGGTATCATCATCGACACCTTCGCCGACCTGAGGAGCGAGAAGCAGCAGAAGGAGGAAATCCTCAAGAACACTTGTTTCATCTGTGGTAAGCTAATTATGTTTACCAAAGAAAACATGTTTTTGCTCTGTTTCTTCTTCTTCTTCTCCAAACCAATAAGATCAATGACCTGAACCAGACATCTGTCACCATGGAAACTGGTGTTGGGTTACATCATGTTAACAGAGCAGACCATATGCATTTGCTTTGCAAATGTTACCTTTCTAACAGGATGCTAATAGGGGCTAATAGGATGATAGGGCTGATTAGCCACACTAGATGCTGCACACAGCCATAACACCAGTTCTACCATCATCTCTTGAGATGGAAGGATGCCTACAGAAGTATTTACATGCATACAAAGGCATATGAGGGTGGCTCAAAACAGCTCACTAGTTCAGTTTTGAACTGGGTGAGAGATCCCACCACTTCCATGATTGTTTTAATCGACTTGTCTTTTCAATCCTTTTGGTACCATAGGTCTGAACAGAGCAGCTTTTGACAACAAGTCTGTGTCGTTTGACGAGCACATCAAGGAGGAACACAACATGTGGCATTACCTGTTCTTCATCGTGCTGGTCAAAGTCAAGGATCCCACCGAATTCACAGGACCAGAGAGCTATGTGTACCTCATGGTCAAGGTAAGAGGCCTACAGCATGCTTCTGTTATAAAGAAAGATATGACTAAATAAATGTATGTGTTGTTTACTATATCTTGTAGTGACTTTGACCCGAATGACCTGCTGGCAACAACCTGACATGACAGAAGAAAAACTGTGTACGCAAGCAAGCTTACGTGATTTATGCCCATGTGAAATTCAGGTCTTTTTACATCCTGTGTGTCTGGTATTACAAATGTATATGTTCACCAGACACAAGAAAAAATTGTTTTAAGGTAAAACTTTTGTTCCAAAACAAAAGGGAAAATCTCTCCTCGAGCTTTTGACCAGTCACTCTGGTCTTATTCAGTAGACTGACCCAGTGAAACTTGTGACCTAGCTTCTCTGAAGTGCATGTCAACACTGGGTCAAAGCCTTCATGGTCAAAGTTATCTGGTAACAATGTCCGCCATAGTTGTGGTTGAGTGAAGGGTGATGGGCCCTGATGTAAATAGCCTCTTTCACTCCTCTCAGGAAGTAGTCTTGTTCCGTACCCAATATTATTACAGTTTACCCAACATGTAACTACCAACACAGATGAACTTTCATGATAGTAAAGGAAAAATCATTTGTCCCTGCTGTCCTTCCCAGGACAAAGACTTGGACTGGTTTCCCCGGATGCGTGCCATGTCTCTGGCTGTAGACGAGGGCGACAGTGAACAGAGCGAGAGACAGAATCTGCAGGCGCAGTTAGAGGCCACCACCAAACTGGTCACCACCCTGTCCACACAGCTGACCGAACTCAGGGATCAGGTCAGTACAAGATGAGCTCAACCTATTCATTTGCTGCCATGCCTGGCCTTATCATCTCTCTCTCTCTCTCTCTCTCTCTCTCTCTCTCTCTCTCTCTCTCTCTCTCTATCCGGTTTAACGTCTGTAGTTCCCTGTGTTCTGAGGGTTTGACATGCTTGCACACTGATGCTGGGGCTTGATGCTAGCTTGCCATTTGCCTATGTCCTGTGGTTCTTGGGCACAGCAAAATATTTTCATCTGGTTGGTAAAACATAGGATATTGAGGTTCTTATACAACTGGTAACAACTCTCACCTGCTTACATTTCGTTGTCTATCAGACACCTTCATCAGAGCTTCTTACTGGAGTACTGTTTCTTGCAGCGACATGACATGACATACATGTATAAGTGGCGGTTTTTGCAGCAAGAACACAATTCTAAACGTGGTTGCTTTTGTATCTCCCTGCAGTGTAATAAAACCATGTGCATCATATCACACATACATATGTACTAGCAGATGACATGCCAAACTACTTTCCAATGCAGCCCACTAGTTGTGAGTTAAAGCTGCGTACACAAAAAATCCAACCATCTGCAATACTCCGCTGGAAGTCACTGACTTCTTTCACAGAGGAAAAAGACTTCACTCTGAACAAAAAACTAATGTGAAACCCCATGTGCCATCTTTGATGTCCAAAACGTGTGAGTTACCGGTATGTCGTCTCGGCTTTAAAGATTTTTTTTCTGCTTTGAAGATTTCTTTCATCTTCACCAAAAGCCAATTGTTGCTTACATTGTTCAGAAGGCCTGCCCTGGACATGTTCTACCCGTTTGTCCAGTCCTGAGTTGATTGACAGCCACAGCAGGTGTTCTTCCTGAGGACTTCTGCAGTCTGACCTTGATCTTGCAGGCAGTGCCCCCCAAACAAACAATCCCTGCTAAGTGGTTTACTGTTGCACCTTTCACCAGATGTAGGCAGGTGCTTCCAACAGCAGGAGTCCACGCTTCCAACAAGACTATTTTGACAGAATGTCTTGTTTGAGTATTCCCTGTACTGATTATTCATGACCTATATAGGTCATGAATAATCAGAGATTTCAGACTTCCTGGAAGTGTGTAATTCTTTTTTCATGTTTATTCCCATTATTCCCACTAATCATCATAAAGCGTCATTGAAAAATTCTTGGTATCACATAGTTGAACACCAGATTGCCCCAAATCATGGCAGAGCATATAAGGTTAAAAGAACATTCCAATGAAGTCGCTCCCAAAGACTTACTGTTAAGCTTTGTTGACCCTCCTAAACTTACCAAAAACTGTTGTCAGGAGCCCCCCATACAGACCCTCTAATAAGTTGAGAGCTGATTATTGGATCCAATGTCTCAAGGGCCCTCAATTGTAACACCTGCACAGCCCTCTGTCATTTCTTCTCCGCCCACACTACACACTACTTGTCTGCCACCTCTCTTCCCTGTCTGTCCATCCTCCTCCTCCACCCCCTCTCAAGCCCTCCCTTCCTCTGGGACTACTGAATCAGATGTGTCTCCCAGACTGTTGATGTTGGGTGGTTCCCTGGACAGTCACACCCTGAAATACTGCCAGTTAAGTTGGCATGACTTCACAGACAATACTAAATGTCTCACAGTAAGGGTTTACTTTGGCTCACCAAACAGAACAAAAGTAGATTATGGGACACAAAGTATACAACACGATTTACAAGCAAGCAAAAACCTGGCGGTACAGTTTTTTGTATGCAAGCTGGCATGGCTGAGGTGACGTTCATCTACGTACAGGCCGATTTACATGCAAGAAAACCTCTGCATACATGATTTTCGCACTAAAAAATTGACAAACGCAGTTCTTCAGTGTTTTATGACCAACATCTGTTATTTTATGGATTAGAAATGTCAAAACATCTCCTATTTGCTGGGGGCATGACCCTGTAAACACTTGAGTGTCTATCTGGCTGTGGGGATCTGTACCAGGAGCACATGTGGGGATGTAATGACCATCAAAGGGTCACCAAGGTCAGGCAGGGGAGGGGGGCACTCCTGCCAGTACAAACATATGAGTAATGTCCTCTATGTAGGTGAAGTCCCTAAAGCACATGTCCCACATTCAGAATCTACCTTCTCCCTACCTCCAGCACAAAATGTAGTCTGGATGCCAGACCCATAGGGGGGCCTGCATGCCCTTTTTCGTAAGGCATAATCAGCCTTTTTAGTCTTCGTAATCTGTTGGCAGCCTCCCCAAAAATCAACGTAATCCGTAATAGTACATTAGCCGCGAAGCGTCAAGTCGTAATCAGCTCTGAGACTTTAACGTAATTCCTAATCGGTGGTCAAAATTTTGCATAATTCGTAATCACGTTGCACCCCCCATGCAGGCCCTCTTCTTTGGGCCTTAGTATGTGCTATGGATTTAGCATCCAGGCTTGCACAAATGCAATGTTCTTCAACCATCGGTTTTTGACTTGGAGACTTGGATGCAAAGAAGAAAAAGAACCTTTTGATCTTCATGTTTCAACGGTTTTAACAAGCCCCTTGGTACCTCATTAGGGTGGTACCAACATAACTTCAGATGCACCAAGTTAACTGCATGTTTCTTCTCCAGGATAGGTTTAAATTGGCTTGTCAGCCTTGACACGCTGCATCTGGCAGTGATTAAGGAGGAAAATAAGCACCCTCCAGGTGTTCTGGGGTGGCTCCCACCAACTGCAGCAGGTTGTCTCCACTGAAAATGAACACCTGCTGTCAGGTACAGCAAGACAAACTGGTCCCTACTTCCTGACTGACCTTCAACAGCAAGGCAAACTAACTGCCATGGTCAATGTCTGAACTCATTAACAAACTACAAACTGTGGCCTAAATTTAGATGAAGGTCGCTTGATGTTTTCCTTGTGAAATAGCCTGGGTGCCAGACTGTTCCCAGGGCATACTGTACACAGGCCAACATGCTAGCCTGGATTCCAGACTGTTTTCAGGGCCTGTGTCCTAGGCTCCAGGGCCAACATGCCCCCAAGGAAATTACAGAAAACCACAGCCCCCCTAAGTTAGACCAGGACACTGGCTAACTCTGACCCTATCATGCTATCGTGCCATGGGTCTGATCACATCCAGGCTACTTGTGAAATGGATGAAATTAAAGATTTTGATACTAGTATATCATATAAACACGCCTAAAGCACCTTGAATGCTGCTCTTTGTGAGTGAGCAGAGGGTGGCAGTTTTGTGGAGGAGATCTCATTTTCTGCAGAAGTGTCCTGGGAAGTACATGTCATCCTGGTATTTGCCCTCTGCCCTGTAGTGACCATGATGAAGTGTTTGTCCATCCACTGTGAGCAGACATGAGCCTGCTTCAGTGACACTCTCTGGTGTGCAGACTACAGGGTGTGTCAGAGCGGAACAAATTCAGTGTTTTAACCACCTACAAAGTTGGGGTTATGGCGCTAATTTAATTAACACTGTAGGCAGCTGTTTCTTCCCATATTGGCAAGATCCCACTATTATTACTGGATAATTTGGAGTGCCAAAACATTCAGTCACAAGGGTCTGCATGGGGGATCCTGGCAAATTTAGGAGGGATGATAGGACAACGCTTAGTAGTAAATTATTACTAAGTTGTTGTTGTATAAGGATTTGGAAGCAACTTTTCTGGAAAGTTCTTTTCTATTCATGGGGTGCCTTCCAAAACTTTTCATGTGGTGTCTTGCAAAACTTGGGTGCTCCCATACTAATTGTGGGTAATCTGACATTCAACTACACCATGCAAAGATTTATTCAATAACACTTAATGATGAATTCAGGATAAGAAATTAAACATACAACGTGGAACAAAAGCCAAAAATTACAAAAAAATTCCCCAACAGTCCTTAAAATTAATGTTGAATTAAATCATCCAAGTATGATTAAAGGGGAATTAAAATGGCCCACAACACCTCACAGAAAAAGGCATGCAGACCCTCATTCCCTGATCCAGTAGAAAGCAAAGGTTGTCCTTGTCAGTGTTACTTAAGTGTTGATAGAAAGCAGCAGGAGAGATGGTGCAGATAGAGCAGGCCTGTGGGCTGGGCCAGGTCACTGCCAAGTGTGGCTGTACCAGAGATGATTAACCAGACTCATCAGGAAGTTTGACCCACCCTGCGGCTACCCTGCATCAGAGCAGGCGTCCTGCTAGAAATAAGTCTGTCTCAAACTTGATATGGACCAGATGCTGATTTAAGGTTCTGCGTGGCCTTTTCCGAAGAGCATAATGAGCGCTTTTAATTCCTCGTAATTCGTACAGGATCACTCTAATTCAACAAAGAGCATAATCGGCGCATTTTGCGTAAAGTGTAATTGGCCCCTTTAATATTACATAATACACTGTACGTCGTAGCTATTCATATTTTACCGTAAAACATAATGGATGAATTGTTCGTAAAGTGTAATAAGACTTCTCCAATATGGTTCAAAGTCGCAAACAGGTGTCTCAAAACCTCTCAAGTGTCGGGTTGTCCGAGTGCTCAAGGTCATTCTTTTTGCTCTACCTCCTTTTATATGTGTTTGGAACCTTAGAATTTAGAGTCGAGCGTAATAAAGAGGTTTCCTGATTTTAGCGTAGAACATTGCGGGCCGTGCCAAATTTAGCATAAAGCATTGCTGGGACCCCCAATGGGGCCCCATCTAGACAGACCCCTAAAAACTTCTCCTAGAAGACAAGTGGTACCAGATCTGTCAATCACTCTATCAAACTCTCCTTACAATGATCAGCAGGATTCTTTTGAAAAAGTTATTGTGATGTACATTCAATAAAGGAAGAGTTAAAGATCACGGTTATGGAGCAAACTTCAAAGGTCATGCAGCATCTGGGTGTGGGAGGCAGAATTTCAGAAATATGTGTCACTGACACGTGTAACATGTCATGCTGTTTCTTAGAAACAGTGTAAACACTCATCCCTCTTTAAAAGGTTGTGCTTTATTTCACAGCGTTGGGTTGCTCATAAACTACAAACTAATGTACATGTACAGCTGTAGAGTTTGCATTCCCCTGAGTTGGTCCTAGATAAGAAGGCCAGAGTTTACATCCAAAGAGCTACCAGGGTAGGCAAGACTTTTAGAGTGTCATGTTCTGATAACCCTAGGGCCTTGCCTGGTCTTTAAATTTCCACCAACATCTTTTAAAGTGCAGCATGGCATTTGGGGATAATCCAGTACATATTTCTTACCAGTAATGGTTATACACAATCACAGATATCACAGTATGACATGTGATGACTGAGACAAGACACCTGTTGATCAAAAAAGACAGCTGGCTAAAGCTTTCCCTGACCACCAACCAACCAAGATTGGCTGAAGTTTGGGAAAAGTCTTAGATTTAGGCCATGCATATGCCTACTAGTACCTTTTGATGTGAATCAAATCATATTTGACCCCCAAACACTGCTGACCAACTCCCAAACACCAGCCAACAATGGCTGAACCTTTTGACATGTTAAAACATATTTTGACATGTTAAAACATATGGGTTTTGAAAGGTTAAAAGTACTTAAAACACATTTTGAAACAGTAGCGGATCACACCAAACACCAGCCAACCACAGCTAACCTTTCTCTTGACCTACTCGTCACCATAGTTGGGTGGAGTTCAGCAGTGTTTGGGAGGACATATTCAGCTATATGTGACAGGCTTGAAAGTGATATCATTAGAGGTTCATCATAGATGATATCTGCTGTGTTCTAAAGGTATTCCTACAAAGCTTTGGGAAATAGTAGGATGTGAGTTTTTGAGTTTCTACGTCTCTATCTTTCCAGATGACAGAGCAGAGGAAACAGAAGCAGCGGATTGGTCTGCTGGCTCCACCTGGCCTCCCACAGATCCCACCACAGTTCCAGCCACAACCACAGCAAGTCCTTCCACCTGCACCTGCCAACCCCTAAAGAAATCCAAACCAAAACCCGACTTACACGCAGGCAATAAACTAGGGGACGAAAAATGCGTACACACTCAAGTGTATGAAAATTGTGTGTGTCAGATTTTTCCTGTGTGTAAAGGAAATATTTGATGTGCGCAGTTTAGTATGCTCATGTGCATACACAGTTTTCGTACATCATGTTTTTGCCTGTGTGGGTAAATCGGGTCCAACTTGGGTTGGCTGAAGTTTGGGAGCAGTCTAACTGGATTTAGGCCACGCCAAAATCTTTCTATACAAATCAATTCAAAGTTGAATTTGAGTCAAATTTGACTGCCAACTATGACCTGACAACTGCTGACCTACTCCCAAATACCAGCCAACTACATGTAGTCCCCAACCTCACATCCACACCCAAATGCTTTAAACCTTTTTAAACATTCGGCTGATGCGGCCAAACAGTGGCCGACCTTGCCAAACACCAGCCAACCACAGCTCCTAAAAATGGTTGGTCGGAGTTTGGCAGTGTTCTGGTGGCAAGACTCGCTAAAGCACCAGTATTACAATTTTTTAGTCACTCCACCCCCACCCTTCCCTGTGTTGCCTACACACACATACCCCATCCTTGCCAAGTAACTCCTCCCAATACGGTGGTTCTGATTGGTTAAAAGTGGGCAGGCTAGTTCATCTGGGCAAACGATAAACTTGTTTACATACATGATGATATGAATAGATTTTCTGTCCACCAGAGCATATTCCACACTTATATTTGTAGATTTTATTTTATGTTGTTGCGTGCAATGTAAGGAATGGTGTTTTTGTTTTTGTTTTGTTTTCTATTACAGGAGAGGATGAGTGATGTACTTTGGGTCCAATAGGGAAAATTTTATGAGCTCAGTTACCACTTTTTTTATCCCACCTAAAGTGATGAATAACATATTGGACATTGGTAAGTGTCTAATACCAATAATATCAATAGCAAATCAATTATACTGCATATTATTAGCTGTTAGGTTTTGCTAGCTACAGAAACATAGTTTACCACAACTTTTTTTATTGTTCACACAGGCATTGTTACAAGTACATTTCTTGAAAAGTAACTTACCAGTGGGCTGGATCCACCAGCTAAATGTGAGAGCCACTATAACAATGAATTTAACAGTTCACTGTTGCAGCTGACTTTACTGTTTCCCATGCAAGGTCACAACGATTTCAGGTCACGATGTATTTTGGTGGTGAATTGATGAAAGGTGCAGCAGGACTAGTTTTTAGTTTTGACAAAAAGTCAGTCCTGTGCAGCCTGTACTAGAATAGTAACTGTGATGCACTGAAACTGAGCAAAGATCAAATATTTGAGGGTTCGGTATAATTAGTGTAGTCCAGCCAAGTCCACAGTTGTGCAAATGTGGCATTTAGGTGTCAAGAAGTCCCTCAGTGGTAAATATTAGAAGGCTGCGCTGAAGGAAATCTTTGTTCCCGAACTGAAACATTTAGTAGTGAAACACATGCTGCATTCTTCTGGACACATGTTGTGTTAGTCTTTGTGCTTAACGTTATATGGAAAGTACATAGTACAATTTATCGCACAGCAAAATTATGGAAGTCATTGATGTAGGGAGGTAGGGCTTGTAGGCAAATTGCAATACTAGTATCTAGTAGCTTATTCACACTTGATAATCATATTATATGTTAGGTAGATGTACTGAATACCCAAAGGTTTACTGTGCATAGAACATGCTACTTTCAAGGTAACGTGAAGTGTGATTTAGAATTGATATTGTCAGTGAACACTAAAGATGCCAACTTTAAGATGTAACTGGGTATTATAGTGGATGGTGCTGGAAAGAATAGAGCATCCAGAAACGGCACAAATATACTGGTACCGGGATTTCACAAGTAGATTCACAGAAGGTAAGATACTTTTAAAATCTATGGGGCCTCTAGACATCCTTGTATACTTCAGACATCCTTGTGGCAAAGAAACTCCATCTATTTTTATACAGGCATGCAACTGTATGTAGGAGATACTTTTTAGAGTAGGCCAAAGACAAGAAATATTCACCTCATATTAGTAAAATGTAGCCTTAAATACAGTAAGGTAGAAGATTATCAATGCAAAGTACTAGTAGGTTGAAATGCCATTCCATAGAACCGAAGTGCAGTTTCCAGTAGGGACCATATAGAGACTCTAATTTCTCTTGACTATATGCCAAGTATAATCAAGGAGGTTTTGTCTTGATAAAACCTCCTTGGTATAATAGCTAAAGTAATGTGATTATGACTTTTAATCATTATCTAGAGTTAAATTACTCTAGTCAATTGAATCGTTGTTTCTATACATGTACCATGGCAATAACGTATAGCTTTACCTTTACTGGTAGTGAACTAGTTAACAAATCAAACTTGAAGGTATAAAATAATGGGGAAAACATGATATCTTCATCAATATGTACAGAAAATATACAATTTATTCACAAGTGTCATTTCGTAGTGTTGGCTATAACGGTCGAAATGTTACGGCAAGTTGCTTCTTTGCTGTAACTTATAACAAGTATATTGTATGCAGAATTATGGTACATGATGAAAAAGGACTATAAACTCCAAATATTACTGTAATATTCATATCCCAGAGTCATAGTTTTGAAAATAGAGCTTATTAAATCTGTTAATATTTCTTGAAGATAGAATTTATAAAGCTGTGTATTATCAGAGGGGAGATATGCAATGTTTTGTTCAGGAAAAATTGTATGACGTGGTTGCTAAATGGCAGAACTATTTTGTAAAGTTGTGATGTGGAAAATGGTGGATGTTATTTGGAGATGAAATTACTGAGCAAGATAAACCACTAGTTTGCATATGACTCTGTCTGTGGTTTTCATTTTGAGAAAATACTGAGTTGGGGCTACAATTATAAGCATGTGTTGTCATGGTAAGGTTTTTTTTCTCCCTCAGTCAGTCTCGGAAGTCTTAAAGACTATGACTCAAATGTAAGGGTAGGTGGCCATGGAAAGCCAAGAACTAAAGCCATATAACCTTCAAATATGCGTTAAATTTGACTACCACCCATGCCCAAACACTGTTGACCTACTCCCTACTACCAGCCAACTTGTCCCCAACCATGGCCCCCGCCCATTCCTGAATGTTTTGAACGTTCTGAAACATTCGACTGCCGGAGCCAAACAATAACCGACCTTGCTCCCAACCACAATTGGGAGAAGTTTATAAGTGTTCGAGAGGCAATGTTCAGCTGAGTCTGACCTACCTTGGGACCACAGGACAACTAACGTCCAACATGACTTCGAATGACTTTGATTTGCGGGTTGTCGGGCTTGCCTGTTCGTTTTTCTTGCTTTCTGATATTCATCTCCATTCCAGAAGATGTACCAAAATCCAACTGAGAACTTTTAATCAAAAGAGAAAAAGACAAAGTACATGTATTCCATTGGTACGTGGAAAGAAATCTTTATTATTCAATTTCTTGAGCAGGAAGAACTTTCATTCTTTGAATTTGAAATAAATACAAAGGTATAACAAAGTGGTCGAATCCATTCAAATTTTCTACATAAAAGGTCCAGATTCGTCAGACGGACTGTAGATTGGGAGTTTGATCCATCAGCAATGCTCAAGGTTATCCATGGCAGGGCATCCCTAGGGCTAAACGAGTTGGTAGTGTTGTTTGGACTGGGCGACGCACTTCCTAGTACATGGCCCTGGTGTGTCGTGACATTTCCATGTTCTTCCACGTCAAAACAACACTATATTATGTATATTTCCTGGCGGTTGTCACGAACGCCGTCACACCATTTTCCTTTTCGCCCCTACTTTGAACTTCTGTTGATGTGACTTAAACTTCTCCATCCAAGTGTTCAAAGAACTGGGCGATTTACTTCAATCATCAATATATACTTCTTAAAACCAACATGATTTGACTGATAACGTTAACTACCTTTAACTAGCAGGCACCAAATGATTTATGTCTACGCAAGTTCGCAAGACACTGTTCCCTGATTTAATTTCTGAACATGAAAACTCTCTTGATAAGTGTTCATAGTAGTATCCTCGCTATGCAGTACTAGCATAGGTGTAGCCCAGCCCAGTGTAGAACCGTTGGTAGTTCCTCTTCCACATCATGACGAGGATGAGGAAACACACTAAGGCTCCGAACGCGTTGACTCCACAGCTGATAAACAGTAGAACTTTCAGCTTCTCGAAGACAAGGTTACAGTCGGTCATGTCGATGTACATGAAGACTCGCGCTGAGGAGTCGAACGATTTGGTGCACTGACAGGAGGAGTCCAGGGACAGACATTCTACATAGTCCACGATGCTGGTGCCGTGCAGCCCGGCAAACGTCGCCGCCACCACGCAGGCGATACAGCAGAAGAACGTCAGAATCCAGAAGAAAATCTGTTGAGTGAAGAACAACAAGTCAGTCAGTGACATGTGGGACAAGGTAAGTTTCCATGATTGTTATTGTGAATTCTCGGATTCATATCAAGGAGGTTAAAATCAAGATTTAAGCTAGATTGCTCATATCAAAAGATATATGGCGTTAGTTTCAGCAATATCTTGCAACAGAACTTGGTGACGAGATGGTAACTGCATAGAAGTATCGATATAGACCAATCCTGAATCCCCATCATAATTAGCAGTTCAACCAATGAGAGAGCGGCAATTAACGATTCGACCAATGAGATGTCCGTCAAATAGTTGCATTTTTATGTTTTACGGTGGTGGGCGGGGCTTTAGGATCGGTATATTCAGTTCGGAGCTTGTTCAGACTACAGTTTTGTGGTATCTGATTTTACTTGAAGCTATGTTGACGCCTCTGGAATCTGGAAAGCGGCTTTGATGGTTTAAAAAAAATACGATAGTTGGGATACTTGTGCTTCACGTTTTATTGAATTGGACTTCCATGATCACGGACTATGTAGTGCTCCAAGGCACATCAGACGTTCCGTAAGATTACTTCGGACATCCGTTACTAAACAGGTGCCTTTTTTAGTCGCCACAGGACGGTAATCGTCATCAAATATGGCGGGAATCTACTTGAAGCTCTCATAAATAAACGTCCACAGGAATTCGGGAAGAATACGATCCGGGAACTGACATACTTCTTGTTTGTCTGATACATCGCTACCGTTATCTAAGATGACAGATCTTCCAAACTTAGTGGTCAGTACCGCTCTTGCTAATTTCTGTCACGTACACGACAAGATAGGTTTAGGTTTGATGCTTTTACACGGAAATATACTTACCCTAACTCCGAAATGCCAGGTACTTTCGAACTTGTTTCGACTGAAGATGCAGGAATATATGCCGACAAGCGCTGCTATTACAAGCTGCAAGAGAAAGAAAGGACAAACGCTGTAGGTTAGACACTAGTAATGTACTAGGACTAAAAAAAATAGTCGAGAAATGGGGAACACTAGAGGGTCCTGTGAATCTCGCTCTGCCAATTCTTTTCCCCGGAAGCTGACATGCGTGGTCCAACACTGTAAACCTTTGTTTCACACATTTTTGGACTTCGGACAAATTTTCGGACTTCGGACAACGTTGTTTTTTATACTACAGTTAAAGTCAGTGTTACGCACATTTACCGGTATAACACTGTTTTTTCTTACACATATAAGTTATTATAACATATAGTAGGCAAGACATACCGGGATTCCTGACCAGTAGGGAACATCACGTGACATGTCGCTGTAGATCTCACTGATGAAGACACACAGGACGATGACGCCGGCTCCGACCAGTAACTGGAATATGGTCAGGAAGAAGTACAACCTACAACATTCGCACCCCTTCCGCGCTGTGGCGGCCGGCGACTTCTGTCTGGAGCTTCCCCTGGGTCGTGGAGAGTGCGGCCCCGACTGCAAGTCCTTCGGGGTCATGCTCTGTGGTACCGTGGTCCGCAGCTGCATCTTCTGCGGCGACATCTCCGGTTCTTCCTCACCCTTCCCCGGTTTTGGTCCGTTCCGTTCCGACTGCTCGCTGGAGGTCAGACGGTCCCGAGTTCCGTTCGATCCGTTTTTCTGGGGAGTCTTACCATTGGCTGCTGCACTCTTTCCGTTTGGCCGTCCGGAATCCTTCCCCGGTCTGTTTTGCTTGTTTGTCGGAGAAGGGTCGCGTTTGGTCCGCGGTTTGTTTTTACTCTGTTCCATTTCCATGGCGGGGTTGTCCATAGCAACACTGTCTGAGTCAGACGGACGTCTGTCTGTCACCTGTGGAGGATTTTGGAAAAAGGGAAGAGATTTTAAATGACGGAAATAAACTCATTCATTCACTCACAGAACAGAAACAACAGAAACACACTATAAGAAGAGAATTCGATTGATGTGTTTTAGGCGTTTTTGTCGCCATATCGAACTTTCTTTTTTGTACTGGTATCTTTTTCTTACGCCAGCAAAAACATTACCAGAGTGGCAAATAGATATTGTCCTGCCAACTTGATGCCTTGCCAATTTGATATTGCCTTGCCAATTTGATACTGCCTTGCCCGTTTGATTCTGTGTTGTAGCCACTGAAAGATATCTGCTTGGAGACAAACACACGCACACACTTTCCTTCCTTCCCTGCCCCCCTGACACCAGCGTCTATTGTCCCTGACCTACATCCTACTGACTTCACGCAGAGGTCACTTTACGCTTTCAGCCAAATTTTCAGCGGTCAATTGAATGTTGTGCGGACACAAAAGCGGCACATTCATGTGCAGATTACAGAGGAGATGGGCGAATTTTTGGAGTCAGCGGTCTGTGTTATCAGTCGGGAGGACCCGGACGGCCCGCTATGCCTCAGTTCATCCCGACTAAACCGTCGCGCACCGCGCAATCAATCAGTCGGCCATTTTGTATCCCCTTCTCTTTTCCCGCCAATTTCCTGAGTTTGACAGACGTTTCGTTTTTCTTCTGAGGGGGCCTGCATGCCCTTTTACGTAAGGCATAATCAGGCCTTTTTAGTCTTCGTAATCCGTAGGCAGCCTCCCAAAAATTCAACGTAATTCGTAGTTCTAATAGTACATTAGCCACAAAGCGTAAAGTCGTAATCTGAGAAGAACTGTTCTGAAAAGTTAACGTAATTCGTAATCGGCGGCGAAAATTTTGCGTAATTCGTAATCACAACCCCCATGCAGACCCTCTTCTAAGTTTTGGTGTCAACACAGTACATACTGGTACACATGTATTTTGAATTTTGACTTCGCGGTAGATCCCAAAAGCAACTGTTGACAGAGACGTCACTAGGACTAGTAGTAGGAGGTTTAGGTCTGTGTAGACCACAATATAAACAGAATGTTTCGAAACATGTCACTTTGTCAGACAGGAAAGCAGGGTTCCTTATAAGGTTAACATTTACCATTTATCAAATTGCATGTTGCCCATAAATCACGTCGAGATCGTTCTGTGTTTAGCTGTTTAGGGCGTGGTAAAAATTGCCGACAAGATAAATCTCTATCAGTCATCCTGTCTTCATCTAGGTCATTCTAGGTTCAGTGCTGAAGACAGTAAATACATATATTACGTTTATTTGTAACTTTATGCCCGAAGGCTACTTGCGACTAAAGTGGGTGCCAGAACCATAGCACACTGGACACAAAGTATCTCTACTGTGTGTCCAGTGTGCTATGGGTCTCGCACCCAGGCTAACTTGCGACAGGAAACAACGAGTGGAAAAGTGACTATTCTAAGAACTTCTACGAAATACAACCTAAGCTTTGGGGAGGCTTGCCTTCTTTTTTTTAGCCTGGGTGCCAGGCTCACAGCACACTAGGCTCAGACTCAGAGGTTATCCTGTGTGTGCACACGGGATAACTTTGAGCCTAGTGTGCTTTGGGTCTGGCACCCAGGCTATCTTTTTTGGAGGCAGGTGAATCCCGCTTTTTCTTTATGTTAATATATATTGCTACTAGTAATAGATGACATTGCAATCGTCTTCGTTTTAAGTAAATTTAACATTCGAGGAAATGGTACTGGGCGTAGGACGACCTGTGTTGTTGCTTTGCTTTTCGGAAAAAAATTAAAAGTATTCCATATAAATACGGGCGGAATTCAAATATAAGTCAGGGTGGTCGCCTGGAGTGTCGCTGTATTTGTACGACCGAGGTCAACCATGCACGTACTGCTGTCCTGTCATTATCGTGTGATTATCGTCACCGGTCACATGTAAAATTGTCAAATTACCCCCCATTTCAAACCACAATACTGACAACAAACTCTATTGTTTTCTCCCACTTCGGTCCATAAAACCCAAACGAGTGGCCGTTGTGTAGTTTATACTGAACTATCTGCTGTGATTTCCATCTCAAACCGTGGTTGATGGCCTGTGAAACGGCGCTATTCGGAACGTTACGGGACCTATCCATGGCGACAAAAGACGACAAATAGTTATTGCTGTCTTTTCTTGTCCAGCACCGCCTCTCTACACATGAACTCGCAGATAAATATTGTCTCGGATGACAGGTTTATGTTGACTCTGAAAACAACAATATGACAATTCACACCACCATGCGGCACATCTGTTTTGGGACGACCCCACATGGCGGTCGTCAATCCGACGTTCGGTCTGCCAAAAATATAAAATACAGCTGCCTAAAGCCTCTGACAGGCTGGCACCAATAAACGTAACAAGCAACAGAGTTTACCCCATACCTGGTCATCGTTAAAATACATATGTTCCAGCCCTTAGGATGACAACTCCGACAGCATAAAATACCTGTCTCTGGCATCAGAAGATAGCCTGGGTGTCGGCCTGTTTCCAGGGCTCAGACAGGCCGCTTTCAAGCAACAAGCACCCATTGAAGGGAATTATACCAAAGCCCCGTCGATTCAACCTGGCTATAGAATGGGTGCCAGACTGTTTCCAGGGCTTACACAGGCCAGGTCCACACACCCCTCAGTTAGATACACATACTGGGACTAGCGTGCTATGAGCCTGGCATCCAGGCTACAAAACATGTAGACCAAATACATGGACCTGTCCGAGTTCTACACTAAATTTGGCCCTAACGTTGTTGAAATGTATGTACTCATAAGTCCTTAGTTTACACCGAACTACTGGCAATACACACTTTGACTAGCTACCGTGGTCTTCACGTCGTCTGTTGAAGAAAGCATAGGCTGGTATGTACACACGCCGTCTATGTATGGGTAGTAACGTTACATCCACCCCGGTTGGACCGTTCTGTGCACACGGAATCACAGAAGACAAGAACTCTGCCCAGCATCATACTAGTACAGCACTACATGCGACCATTTTTCCCATACTCACAAATTCCAACTGTAGTTCCTACAGGCCCAAAGACGTGCTCTGAAGGTTCCACCCTCTCAGATTCCCCAGTAGAAGGAGGCTTACGGTTTTACGCTCGGCGCAAATTTAATCCCCAGAGAAAAGTGACGCCGGCAGCTGGCCCTGGGCCTTTCCTACTGGGCCAGATCCCGGACTGCTGCCAAATAAAGTCTCCTAAAACCCTCTCCTCCACTGATGTCCAGAAACCGGAGTAGAGGTGATAAACTTGGGGAGAGATATCCAGCTAGCTTAGGGACGGATCGGTATACATACAGGGGAATGCGTGGCGCGCGCTTCTACCCTGGGGACCAGCCATCATTTTTCTTGGCGGGTTTTTACCTCCAGCTACTAGTATCCCCGTAGATCCAGCCGCCAGTGTGATTCATCAAAGTACAGTTCGAAGCTGCAAACTGTAACGTTACTCCTGAAGCAGACCAACTCCCCTGCCATGTTATCTGTGTATTCTGGCCAATTTCTACTCTTTCCTCAGAAGCCTGGTAAAGACTAGATAGGATCTACATTCTCTACTAGATCTGAGTTGTGTCAGGAAATACCGAGGACCGTTATCATAAGTCTGACCTATCTGTGCACTGATAGACACTGCAATGACAATGCCACGTCTGTTTTGTTTACACTTTCGCTGAGACAACAAATGGCTTCTTCGGTCTAGTGGTGAGAGCCTAGACTTCTTGTCCGTTCATCCTTCGTCCCTTTCCGGCATCCTCACCATTTCTTATCCAACAAATTAAGAAAGATAGTGTTTCTCACTCACCTTTTCTTGAAGATCAATCAAAACAGACCCTACAGAATAATAGTTAAGACTCCAGGAGAGGTTGACCAGTGACCAGTGACCACGTACATGTCATGTTTGCAAGACGTCCCAAGGAGGTTACCTAAGTACCATGCATGGCAATCTAGTTTCACTGCCGTAACTAAGTATGTAAGTAAGTATGCCACACAAACAACTTACGCAAGGCCAAGAATGAAAACAAGGACCAAACGTACCACCATGGGGATATCTCGCACGTCGTCTCTGGTAGAGGGAGGGAACGGGAAATGCCCGGTATGTGAACTCCGAACCCCCAAAAGACACGACCCAGCTGACCGGCACCACAGGGGCACAGTTCTCGTGAATGAAAAAGGTGTAAACAACTTCCTCTCGGACTAATGAGCTGTCTTTGTACGGGGGAATTATCACCGAACGACGAACTGGTAGATTAGCGGGTTATTAGCGCTATATGGACCGTCTATGGACTGGGGTGTGAAGGATCAAGCAGCGGGAAACAAAATCATAGCAAAGGCCACATGTCCCATGTATGTCCCCGATGGCCTATAGCCTCGATCAGGCCTTCTTACGGGGTTACGGATCGTAGAATTCGGCAAAAAAGGCATAATTCAATAATTGGCCAGGACTGCAGGAGAGTCAGTCCGCGATAGTGTTAATTTTTAGCCTGGTATCCAGCCTTGTTAGCTTTAGTCCGCTACCCAAGATCCGCTCCGGCGGGGAGCGGATCTTGGGTAGCGAACTAAGCTAACAAGGCTGGATACCAGGCTAGTTAATTTTACCCAAATGACCAAATGAACACCAACTTCTAAATCTTGTATGTAAGTACATGTACATGGTCTACGACTACAAAAAACATTCCCGTAGACATCCATGTCATCCCTGTACATACTAGTACCTATTTAATAAACGTATACTCATTCAATAAGGAGCTGAAGTTTTACACTGTAAGACCTCCTTGCTTATTCCTTGGGGCCCATTCAAAGGTCTTCAAATTTACGAGGCTATGCCTTCAGACAAGTACGTGATAGGGTCAAAGTGGGCGAGACCATAAGTCCCTTACGTAAACACAGTTTCACAGGGCAACAACATGTCCAGACTTGGCAATGTGTGCACCAGTCCAAACCTTTGGACCGCCATATCGTCTTGGAATTGAGC